TTAAAATCGGCTTGAGAAAGCAATTTGTGTAAATAAATATAAGAAAAAAATAGCTTAAATAAAATCAACAAATTATTCAGCAGTGAAAGGTAAATATTTAATCCATAACAGTTTATTTTATTTAATCTTTCAATTTTACCCTTTCATCAATATAACTATGTGTTGCAGATATGTATGTATATAAAATATCGCGTAAAAAGTTTTACCTTGAACAATTTACACTCACCATTTTACTTGCAAAATACATTTTTATAAGCAACTGGTAGTTTGTTTACTTACCAATTTCCTCAATTCGGCACACCTTCTTCTCCTCAAAATACAATGCTATTTTCGCGCACTCATTTAAATTTTAAATCAAATACATAAATAAATGTTCAATTTTTTGCCGCTTAGTAAATAGTGCTTTTGTATTTGCATAAAAGCATGTACACGCGCTATTGCTTGTCGCCGGCAGCTGTGCCAAAATTTTCCATCCATAAAAATCTTCTTATGAATTATTGTAATTCCTTAATTTTATTATATTTTTCTCTCATTTCTTGTGTTATTTTAAGCCGCACTTTTAAGTACTTTTTCACTCAGTCTATTCCTAGTTTTTCTCATTTTTTCTTAAATTGATGCAAAATTTGCATATTTATTTAATGTATTAAAATACAATTTAATTAGTATAATACATCGTTAGTTGTGATTTATTAGTCTAAGTGTTTACCGCCTTTACCGTCTACTGTCCGTCTACAAATGGGGAATGGCTTGTAAACAAATGCTTTTCAAAAGGTGCAAATCATTTTAAAGTAGATATCAACAACCAGAAATTACTTCACTTAACTTTTGGGGAAACTCCATCAGCTTTGGATTGCATGCATATTATAAGAGTGCGAATACGAGTGCGTTCGTATGGGTGTGTGTGTGTGTGTGTGTGTATATATTTCTTTTTATGCTTTTATTGTGCGTTTAATTTGCGAATTAGTAAGGGTATTCACTGTGTAAGCAAATATCACTTTTAAGAAGCTATGTCGCAGTGGATGGGAAGATACGATGGCTGAGAGAAGGTTTCAAGAGCAGGCTCTTGTAGGACACAAAGAGGTGATCTAGCAACCGATGCCCAAAGTATATTGAATTTATAGTCGGCTGAATGGCAGTGAAAATAGTACACCGAAACCCCAAGCGATGTGCCGTTCCTTTACCTGACCATGAAGAAGCTCAAATAGCAATCGCCACCACCTACAACAAAGTAGCTGGAGCTGACGGCTCCTTCAAACATGGCGATGAAGAGAGACAGGTGCATTTATCAGCTCCTTTGCAGAATATAGTCGAATGAAAGCATGCCCGACGATTGGACTTTTCAAAACAGCCAGTTCTACGCACCGGAATTGATACGGATTTTATCCAATCAATGGCTGTCACGCCTTCGGCGACCTAACCCCTTTTAGGTCAACAGGTAACACTAATTGGAATTTAAGTGTACTCTGCCTAATCTATAAAAAAGAGCCCAATCATCGTGAGATAAGCCTTATTAGCGGCCGTACTAGCCGAATGATTAGCATTGCGTACTGCCATTCGGAAGGCTAAGCTTCAAATACTGGTATGGTACTAACATCCAACAAGTTCTAGAAAATTAATTTTAATTAATAATTAAGAAAAATTTTCTAATTGCGGTCGCTCCTCGAACCCCTCCGAGTGTATTACTGATACGAAATAAAGGCCCCTCATAAAAAAACTCTCAGCCGTTCGGTGGCAGCTTAGTATAATTTGTAGGTTCCTTCATTTGTTGGAAAAACTTCAATCACGAATTGGATCAGCAGCTCGGCCGAAAATTGCATCAGCGGTTGCAAAGCGCCAAATTTATATGTGTAAGCCTCCTAAATATCGCAAATAAGGTACCGTAGAGCGCATCGAGACTAAAGCCCACCGTCAACAAACTAATTGAACCTTAGCAGTGTGGCTTCAGACCTAGCAAAACAACCATTCACCATGCGTCAAATCTTGTAAAAGACCGTGCAACACACCACCTCTTCGTCAATTTTAAAGCAGTCTTTGACAGCAAGCAGAAGGAGCTGCCTTTATGACGCTATGTCTGAATTTGGTATATTCGCAAAACTTACACGACTGTGTAAACTGTACTTGAACAACACTAAAAGTTGAGTCAGAATCGGTAAGGACCTCTCTGAGCCGTTCTATGCCGAACGAGGTTTCAGACAGAGTGATTCCTTATCGGGTGAGTTCTGGAGAAAATAATTCTAGCTGCATAGGGGATTAGAGAAGGTACAAGCTTCTATAAGACTGTACAGCTGCTGGCGTTCGCCGATAATATTGATATTATTAACCTCAACAACCGCGCAGTGAGTTTTGCTTTCTCCAGGCCGGATGAGGAAGCGAAGAGTCTGGTAGGGAATGAGGGCAAGACGAAATATCTCCTGCCATCACACAAATAGTCATCATATTCCCGATTTGGCTACCAATTCACTGTTTATAGTCATAACTTTGAAGTCGTACATAACTTCGTCTATCTTGGAACTAGTATTAACACCAACAACAATGTCAGCCTGGAAATTCAACGCAGAATCACTCTTGCCAACAGATGTTATTGTGCTTTGGACTGAGTGAGCAATTGAAAAGTAAAAAACTCTCTCGACGAACGAAGACCAGATTTGACAAGTCGCTTCCTGTTATACGGTGTGGAGGTACTGATGATAGCAACATCTGTAGAGTCCGCATTGAAAGCTTTCGAGGGAAAGGTTTTGTGTAAGATTTACGTCCCGCAAAGAATTGGTAACGGCGAATACCTCAGCCGATATGAAGAGGAAGATCTCCACTCCTTTGGATAGACCAGTTAGAGAAGGATCTGGCTCAACTTGGCATCTCCAATTAGCGCCAAACAACGAAAAAAATTAATGATGGGCGCAATGTTATAAATTCAGCTATAATCGCATTAACGGTGTCCACGGCAGTAAAGTAAGTAAGGAAGTAGGTTGTGGAAATTTCGATGAAATTTTTTTTAAATCGAGTTTTGAAATCTATTAAGGGCTATTTTTTCCTAATTTAGTGAATACTACACTACCACGGAATTCCCTGAAGGGGTATGTGGAGAGCTGGAAGAGGATTTAATCATTTATTGGCCTTTTCATCAAGGCTTAATCTTTAAATGAATTTCAAAACAGAACACCATACACCAAATGGGTAGCTTCATTTTTACGATGTATATTTTTACTTCTTTCTTCTTTTCAGTTCTTTTCTTTTCGTTTCATTTTAATTTATTCTATTTGTTATGAAATAAAGTTAGTCTTCAAAAATTTGCTATCCTGAACTGTCTGAACGATAAAAACTCCCAATAACGCTATTCTTCATAGAAAGCTTGTATCAATAACGAAGTCTAGGACGGAAAGCAGCTCATAATACAAGTTCTTATTAAGACTATCCTAAAATAAGTGCCTTGATTTTTTGCAGCATAAGTGTTCCTGTTAAATCTGTGGTGAAACCTCATTAGGGCTAATCCAATCTTTCTTTTTCTCCGATCGAATTCCAATAAAATGTTTTCACACATTTCCTCGCGGGATAATCTTTTACAACATCTAAAATGAGTATTTAATAGCCTCTGTTAAGGCTAAGCTATAGGACTGAAGAATCTTACACAACGGAAATATAAGTTCGATTATTGTTGAGGCTGCATTTCGGGAGGCTGCGAACAATTAAAGCCGACCCCTTAAATACGGTTCTGCTAATGCACTTACAAATATAATCTCCAAAGGTGCAAAGAATTTATTTAAAAAATCCAGAGGCAACTTTTTTATAAAGATAAGCTTTCCTATTAATGGAGGAGTAATTTCGATGAAAAAAATCTGACGCGATGGTTGCAACAAAGGCGGAAACCATTAGATCTTTGTGACATGTATTACAGTGGCCATTCGGTGGAGCGCATATTTCGTATCGGATTGGCGCTGGGAGAGACTTCTGTCATTACACCATGCGGAATTTTCGGTACAAAGCGAATTTCGATGGTTTGCGAGCTCTTCAGGATAAAAGTAAGGGAACGATGCGTCCAAAGGTGCCCCTCAGGAATGTCTGGAACATACATAATGCTAGGGTCGACAAATAAGATATCTTCGACACAACAGTGGCTGAATTCAGCCTCCATAACGAAACATCCTCAAATGGATGGAGGAGACTGATTGACTTCATCGGGATCCGAAATTTAGTTGTCTGTAGTAGTTTCCAGCACAAAAGCACACATCAAGCTATCTCGAACTCGAGCCATATCGGCTATATTATAATAGACGAACGACATGTCTCCAATATCCCATTTGCCCACCTAATATTGTATATGATAACATTCATCAGCAACTGGGATTAGAGTACTATGGTTTAAAATTTAAAGCTCCCTACGTTCTGTCGTTAAAGAAAATGTTGATTTTTTGCAATGTCAAAATAATGTTTGGTGCAATGAAGATTGTCGTACCTGTTGTGTGCTAGACAAGCCGAAATTTTAAAAGGCAAGCGAAACGCATTAGTGGAGGATACTCATGTATAACCCAAAGAAGGATCCGCTTACTGAGTTCATAGAAGAAATCCTTCTTCATCCTGCTGAATGTCAATGAAAATGAAACACCAGCGCATGCCGAGCCACTTCCTCAATAGATGGCGATGAAACAGACGTTCCATTAACCGAAGAAGTCCGAAAAACAAGAAAGTGGCGAAATCCGATGGCTTATCAACTGAGCTAATCAAATTTGGCCGAGCAGAATTAACAAAGGGCCGAATATGGTCGAACGAAGGCATCCCCGAAGATTGGAACCTAAATGTGCCGGCCGAATCCCAAAATTCTTCAGACCTAGCAAATCTACAATTGACTAAACGTTACATCTTGGATAAGATCCTAAGTTGAGAAAAAAGTATTTCATGGCTCTGAAAAGCCTCAGCAAGTTTAACAAACTACAACTTCGAAAATTTCATACAATTCAAAAAATGAACATGAATAATAACTGTAATATAAATATTTTGCCGAAAAAATTCACAAAAATTTACTTTACTTAGATTCTTATGTTTCTTCTTAGCCAAAAAGATTTGGCACAAATAACGGTGTATGTTCTTGAACTTCCTCTTCTGCGCTGTATTCCTCATTAGGCTCCTCATATCGTACGCGATGCACCGCTACTTCAGCTGCATGAGCTTTACGCTTGTAATCTTCCAAGGCACGTCTCAAATGTTTACTCTCAATAATTGTCACTTTATCCGAACCATCTTCAACCCAAAAATAGCTGCGACGTTCACGACTATGAGAAGGAACATCAACTTGATCAGATTTGCCAATCTCACCAAAGTCACTTGCAGGTCGTATGGGGTAGATAACTTTACTTTCAATGCTCAGTGCAGTCAACAAAAGACAAAGTAGTCCCAGTTCTTGCAACTAAAAGAACGAAATATAAATATGATATACTCGTACATACATGTATTTATAAAAATATATATATTTCTTTACCAGACAATTCCTAAACATCTTTATTCTTTGAATTAATAAAAATAACTAATTTAAATTCTTTTCAAAAACATTATTTATATACAGAATTTGTGAGGAAAAAATTTGAAATGCAATAAAATTTAGGTGGTTGACACCTACACCAAATAATATTACTTTGCGAATTAATGATCAGCGACTAATTTAGAGTTTGAATGACAAAAAATTTATTATCATTCTAATGTTTATAAAAATTAGCACCGTAAATACCACGAATTTGTGAATAACATACAAGTGACAATATTTAGCAAAGACATAAACCAATACAAATAGAATCTAAGGCAAGGCGGGAATACTCAAGCGGGAACACAATAAAAGAAAGTAAGGTTAGTTTAGGTACTTTTTTTATATTTATATAAATTAGCAACACGTTTTTAGATGAGCGAATATAATAAGAAAGTATAATAGATGTGGAGAAGCATCAGTTGATCCATAGACCTATTTACGAATGAAATTAAGGCCACATCTAAAGCACAATTAGGCGATGTTAACAAAAATAGTTGGTCAAGTAAGAAGTCATCCAAGGAAATTGGTGATAAATACAAATAATTTTTCCTCAAGGACACACATCACCCAGGCATATGGGTTAGGAATTTACTTATTGATCTGGTAAAAAGAAATCCATTACTTTTGCATTAACCTGAAAGTTTTATTATCCTTAGTTTAAAAATTATTCGATTTATGTTTATGTTATACACCGTTTTGCTCTATAACGTTCTGCCATTTTCAAGGTAATGTCAATATACTTCTCTTATAGAAACAAAAACAACTGGATCTATCATTCGCTATAGACCGCGGTAGCCAGGTGGTTAGCATTGCGTACTGCCATTCGGAAGGATCGGGTTCAAATCCCCGAGCGACCAACATCGAAAAATTAAAGAAAAATAATTTAAATAAAAAATTAAGTTAAATTTTCTAATTGCGGTTGCCCCTCCGCAGGGAACGCCCATCCCTCTGAGTGTATTTGAGACATGAAATAAAGGCTCCTCATAAAAAAAAACCATCAGCCGTTCGGAGGCGACTTAGTATAAACGGTAGGTCCCTCCATTTGTTGGAAAAACATCAAGACGCAAAACCACAAATTGGAGGAGAAATTTGGCCGAAAATCGCTTCAGCAGTCACAAAGCGCCAATTATCTAATCTCCCAACCAAGTTCTCGAGTCATTATCGATGTATGAGCTCTTTCGTTTTCTTATGAATTACAAACCCTTCCTGTTGGCCAAAGTTGGGCCCTACTGGCAATAGGGAAGTAACTCATAGTGGTTGATTTTGCCAATCCCACCAAACACACCACAAAACCTTCTTGGTCGCCCAGTCTTGGCTTGAAGACCATTGGTGCTGGCTCACTGCCCTTCGGCCAGGCGAGTTTTCGTTTAACATTGCTATAATTGATCCACTTGCCTTCACTAGTCACTATGCGCTTCAGAGATGACTCGATTTTGTTACGACTCAGCAGCGATAATACGCAAATAGAAATATGTTCCATGAGCTTTTTCTCGTTAGCTCACATGAGCGCCATGTATCGAGCTTCCATGTGTATCCAGGCGATTACAAGTGGTTTCGAACTATTTTTTGTGCTTCTGTGTAATCGAAACCGTGCTCGCATGATGGTCCGAATCGTCGATTTGCATTATTTTATCGAGAGTTTCGACAATTTGTCTTCCACATAGTAGAGCCATTTTTGCATCAAAATTACCGGAACCAAAATTGGGCTGTTATAATATTAGGACCATAAATATTTTTTAGTTCGAAATATAATCTTTCTAAGGTCATCTAGCTTAATCCAATCGTACTTATAGTAATCGTACTTAATGCAAATCTCTAAAACCATCCGTTGCAAATATAATGGATTACTTGTTATTTGTCTTAATAAAGTTAATAGTAAATCCTTTTATCTTTCATTAATAAGTAAAATATTTATAAGTTTTAAGCATTTAATTAAAGGCCTTAAAATGATGAATAATTAATTAATAATATCCATTTACTTTAATTACATGATTAACCGCATATAACTGGAACGAACAGCTTCTTGCGTTTTCGTTCTGTGTTAGCTTTTCTTAAAGTCCTCCCATTTTTTTTGATGTCTTTCGGTTCTGCTTTACTACGCCTTGCTCGTGACAATTCTTTCTGTTTTTGTAAAGTTGGCGATGGGTTAATAGCGACTCCAGAGAAATTGGTTTTCGGAATAACAACGCCATTTTCTAAAAATATTTCTGATGAGTCAGGGTGTCTCATTTCAATTGCTATTTGGTCATCTGCAAGCGAAATTGTCGGGTAAATTATTATTGTGACGACGAGGGTGTAAGCTGCTAGACGCTGTAAGGAATGAATTCTCTTGCATATAAAAAAATAATAAAAAGAATAAGAAATAAGAAATTAAAAAATAATTATAAATAGAAATTAATTAAAGCAGATAGAAATAAGTTATATTAAATATCTTGAAAAAATTTTGTATACCTAATAAACTAAATGAATAAGAATAAGCTACTAATAGTAAATATTTAGTTAAAATGAAAACAAACATATAAACATTAAGCAATAACGTAAAAAGAGCAATAAAGTGTAATTAGGATATAGTATATTTAAACTGAATTATATTAAGAAATAAATTAAATCTAGTAGATTGAAACAAAATAGAATTAAATTCAATAAAAGATAACAACATTACAAAAATACAATAAAATAGAGTAAAATTCAATAAACTAAAATAAACAAAACAAATTAACATAAGAAAAAGTAAACAAAATATCACTAACAGTCAGAAATAGAATAGAATAAAATAACATGAAACTAAATAAAATTAAATCAAGTTAGAAAAATAAATTAAAAAAGATTAGTCAAACAAAAAACAAACAAAATTAAAATGAATTTAACAGGCCAATTCTCACTGTTACCGGTAAAGTAAATTTTGTTACTTTTCTTTAACACCCGAAATTGAATTTGGTATTCTGGCGAACTGGTTACAATGTTTGAAAAAAATTTGGCAGCACTGCTTTTTTCGTCCATTTCAAATTACATTTGCCTGTTGATAAAGTAAAAAACAAAAATATTCACATCGATATGGAAGACGGTGCACAAAACAATTTAAAAGTTTTATTAATTTGTTTATTAAATCATAAATATTTTAACCTAATTATGAAAATTTGCCTGAACAACAAAAAAAACTGAATGAAAACGTTAACTTGCAAGTTAAAGGGCTTCTTCTTCTTCTTCTTTTTAGTCTCGAAAACTGCTTTTTGCACTTTTTTCTTCATCTTCAATAAATTCCAGGCCTAAAATATGCCTACCCATTTTGGTTTTTTATTTTTTCTCAAACTTTAAACACAAAATCAAACAGCAGATATTTTTGTTATCTCCTATTTCGCTGGTAAAAAAATTTACAGGGTGACAGTGAGCTCAGAATACGAAATAGTAACAAATTTTACCATTTAGTAAATTTACAAATTTTACCATTTAGTAAATTTACTGAATGGTAAAATTTGTTACCTCGACAGAGACCTATTCTGTAAGTGTGTAAGTGAGATAAATCAAAATTTAAATAAATAAAATAAAGTTTAAAAAAGTGCAACAAGATAAACCACAAAAAAAGAATACGGACAATATTTTGAGGGTTGACTTTAATATTTCTTTATTTGGCAACCCTAGTGTTACAATTTAATAACTGAAAACTTGATAGTAAAGTTTAACATTTTTGACGTTATACATACTCGGAGCGTATTGATATACAGCCGCTATTTGTGTTGTTTACGGTAACTTAAAATTTTTTTGTTACAAACTTTCGACGACTTTTGGCGATGAAGTTCCAACAAGTGCCAGTATTTATCGATGGTATGGCGAACTCAATCGATATTGCAAGAACTTCATATGAGTTATCGTGGTACCAGCATATATTCATTACTCAGCATGCTTATTTAAGTGTAAAAAAATGTAATCACATTGGATTCAATAGAAAATAAAAGCTCCGTACCACCAGAACAACGCAGAACAGTGAATTATGAGTGATAAGCAACCAATTGTTTGTCAGTTGTCTTTCAAGAATTCAGGAAAACCTACCGCCGAACACGGATCACCCTTCACATATAACGGCATTTTTTAATATGCAAAACATCGATTTGATGAGTAATCAACCGTATTGTCCAAACTAGGCGCCGAATGATTTATTTTTATATCCGTACGTTAATAATAAACTGAAACAACTATTTTCGATACCTGAAGTGGCGATCAATGTGTAGAGTTGCAAAAGTTTTCCGAAAATTGGTTCAAACGTAAGCAAAAGTTCAACCCTCGTACAAATGCACAATTGTTATGTTTACCATAGGTGGTGATAGTAAGAATGCTAAATATTTAGCGAAACGTTAGGCAATAGGTAAAATAAAAAAAAACCGTTGAAGCGATTTTAGGCCGAATTCCTCCTCCAATTTGTGGTTTTGCCTCTTGATGCGTTTTCAACAAATGGTTTCTCCTACAGTTTATACTCACCGCCTTCAAACGGCTGATGATTTTTTATTTTATGAAGAACCCTTATTTCGTGTCATAGATACACTTGGAGGGGTTGATATTATATTCCCTGCCAAATATTAGTTAGTCTAATATACCAAATCTTTGACGAAATTAGGTAAGTATAAAATAATATAGAATAAAATAAATAATAATAAAATATATAATATATGATTTTAAATAAATATATTTGCAATTATACTTACAATTTCCAGCATATTTTCGTTTATGTCTGTTAATTTACGCCTTTAAAAAAAGACACTCAAATTCTATTCAAAATAAGTTGCGTTACTCATACGCTCCGGTTGATGCTCTGCCGCTCAGAACACTGAATATAATAATACTAATTGACTGTTAATAGAATTTATGAAAATATTTATGCATTTTGCAATATTTTACATATACACATACATGCATAAATGAGGAAGTAAGACACGACGAAATAACACTTACATTCAAGTTCAGTATTTAGATAAATTGATTTATTTTCTCTCAAACACAATGAGAGAATGCAGGGGGTTGTACTAAGTATTTTATTCTGCGTATAGATAACATATATGTATATACACGTATGTAGATCCAATTTAATAAATACAAATATTTTTATTGACTTAAGCATTTAACGTAAATTATTTGATAAAAATTTGTTTAGCATGGCCTTAAATGTTTTCGCATGTAACATTTATTATTATTGATATCATCTAATTTATATACTCGCTATTATATATAAATATACATATAAATACGGCAGTATTTGAGCGAATATCAGTGGGCGCCAGTAAAGAGAAAATACGCTATATTTTGAAATTTTTCTGGGATAAAGGTGTAAACGCTAATCAGCAAGCTGAAAATGTGAAAAGCATTTATGGTCCTGATACTGAAACAGTCAATCATGCAAAGTTCTGGTTTCTTCGATTTCCTTCCGGTGATTTTGATGACGGCTCTACTATGTGAAGAAGACCAATTGTCGAAACTCTCGATGAAATAATGCAAATCGTCGAGTCGGACCATCATGCGAGCACTGTTTCGATTACGCAGGAGCACAAAAAATAGTTCGAAACCACTTGTAACAGGCTGGATACACATGGAAGCTCGATACATGGCGTTCATGTGAGCTAACGAGAAAAAATCTCATGGAACATATTTCCAACTGCGTATTATCGCTGCTGAGTCGTAACAAAATCGACTCATCTCTGAAGCGCATAGTGATTAGTGAAGGAAAGTGGATCAATTACATCAATGTTAAACGAAAACTGTCCTGGCCGAAAGGCAGTGAGCCAGCACAAACGGTCCACAAGCCAAGATTGGCGGCCAGGAAGGTTTTGTGATGTGTTGTGTGCCTTCGACCAAACGTTTAATTCGTCCGTCTGAAGAGGAAAATTGCAAGAAAGTGCTTCGTAAGCTTGGTTGGGAGATTCATACACATTCACCGTATAGACTGTACCTCGTTCCCAGTGATTACCATCTGTTCTTGTCTACGGCGAATGATTCGGTTGGTGTAGAGTTCGCCTCAAGAGAAACTTGTGAAAAACGATTGTCCCAAATTTCGTGTTTGTACAGACAAAGGTTTCTATAAGAGAGGGGCATTTCGACGTTACCTTCAGAATGGCAAATAGTAATCGAGAAACTGAAATATGCACCTGTTATGAATCGAATAATTTTAGCTAAAAGAAAAAAAGCTTTCAATGTATGTAATGCAAATATAATGGATTACTTTTTACTATCCAAGTGGTTGGCATTGCATACTGTCATTCAGAAGGTTTGGGTTCAAATACTGGTATCGTGTTAATATCCAAAAAGTTATAGAAAATTAATTAGAATAAAAAAATTAAAAAAATGTCTAATTGCGGTCTCCCCTCGGCATGGAATGTGAACCCCTTCGAGTGGATTTCCGAAAAGCTCGTCATAAAAAACCATCAGGCGTGCTAAGGCGGCTTAGTATAAACTGTAGGTCCCTCCATTTGTTGGAAAAACATAAAAACGCAAAACTACAAATTGAAGGAGCAAATCGGCTGAGAAACGCTTTAGCGATATTGTCTACTATATGGAATGACCCTACTTAATTACAATTGACATTTTTTTATGCCTCAATATTTAACTTTACAATACAAATACTATGACAATGTGCATGCGCAGTTGAATAACAAAACCCGTACCGCCATGCGCTATCACCAACAGTAATTATCACCTTAATTATTGCGTGATATGTCTCTCTATCTTCAATTCCTTGTTCCGTTATGCATTAATCTACCCAAATTTGTGTATTTTTAGTAACAAATTGTTTTATAATTTCATTTTGGGCTAAATTTAGACATCATGATTCCTTTATTAGTACGAATATACTCGTATACCAGACACGTGTTGGGGGTGAGTAATGCACGCCGAATCACAAGTTGAACGAGTTATTTGTTTGCTTCTACAGATTTCATAAAAACAAAGAAAATACGGTACCTATCTGTGCCCAAGCATTTATAGTCAAAGGCCTGCAATACTAGTCTAGAACCCAACATAAAGTTATAAGAGTTCGCGCCCTAAAAAGCCTCAAATATTTTACAGAGCATTACCATCAGCGATTAATGCCGCAACTGCATCTTTTCAACACTTAAAGAACTATAATACGAAGGTCATAACAAAGGCAAAAATAAACTCTTGTAGAGAATCAGCCCCGGAGGGTGGTAAGTTCGGCAAATTATTCTCAAGTACCCAACGCGCTGCGAAGCGATCTGCAGAGAAAGCTCTCAATCGGCTAAGCGGCTCCAACAGGGAGAGCAGTAGCACTCTTAGTGAAAGATCTTTGAACAAAAACCAAAATCAAAAGCCCAGGACCGTACAAAATTGCTTATATCCAACTTCAGCAGTCGCTGGTCAACAGCATCAATTGACTGTATGTTATATTAAAAAGAGTCTTAAGTCCAAACTATTATACCATATAACAAAAGTATGGAGGAAACCGAGAGTTGTTTTTATGCCCAGATTTGGAAAGATAAAGCAAATCTAGGTATTTTAGCGCAATAAGCTTGGCATCACTTCTGAAATAGTGGCGGAAACCTCTCGAAAGGAAGCCAAGACGTGATATGACAAACCTCTCTTTAACCGGGACTCCCAGGAACGAAGCTTCGTGTTATGCGAGTCTACAAATACCTATTCGTAAAGCTATTGAGAACATACAACAGCCCTTTTGCGATGTGGTGGCGGAAAGTTTCCTTAAAATGATAGCTGTAAGCATAGCCTCCACATTTGGCTGCTACCTCCTTACATTGAAGTAAACATTTAATTAAAGGGTGATTTTTTAGCTATTATCTTTTTAGCAACACTGGTTTAAACAGCAGACGTACGTTTCCTGTTCTGTGCCACTGTCAAGCATCTTCAATTTGGTCTTTAATTTAACCTAAAATCGTCTTACAAACGAACAACGCTAGCAAATTATTGAATTTTATTATCAAAATGCCGGCTCTGTTAAGAAAGTTCGTCGTGCGCTGCTTCCGCTCGCGCTTCGAAGCTCATTTTCGGCTTAGTGAGTGCATAGATAAGAGGAATTGCCGATTTTGGAGTGAAGATCAGTCAGAAGCATTGCCAGAGCTACCACTGCATCCAGAAAAAAGTCACAGTTTGGTGTGGTTTATGGACTGGTGGCATCATTGGACCGTAATTCTTCTAAGATGATGCGAATCGTAACGTAATTGTGAATAGTGAGGACTACCATGAGTGGACATCAAACTTTTTTTTGCCCAAAATACAAGAGCTTGACTTGCATGACATGTGGTTTCAACAAGACCTTGTCGTATGCAACACAGCACCCGTAACAATGGACTTATTGCGAGGTGAGTTCGGTGAAAATTTTATTTCACATTCGGGACACGTCAATTGGCCGCCTAGATCGTGCGATTTAACGTCTTTAGACTATTATTTGTAGGGCTTTGTTAAATCTAATATCTATACAGACAGAAATTCAACTGACACATTGGGGGACAACATTGCAGCAGTTATTCGTGAGGTACCGGCCAATATGTTGGAAAGAGTATTCCAAAATTGAACTAAGCGGATGTACCAATTGAGGCGCAGTCAGGGTCTACATTTGCGTGCAATAATCTTCAAACATTAAATTAAATGGGCCGTACTGTTCAATCAAATAAAGATTACGTGCACTTTTCTGAATTTTATGTGTTTTTTTTTTCTTTTTTTTTTTTTGAAAACTTTCATATAGTTCCTAAAAAAAATCACCCTTTATATACTAAAAAAAATGTCGTTTTTCTTTGAATATCAAAGTAACCCCTCTGTATTTCGGGTCAAAATTAATATTCATGAAAAGTTTAAAAATCGTTTTTTTTTTTTGGAAAATCAAAATATTTTGAACGAGCATACATAACTGTTGGTTTCTGTTTAATTTTTTCGTTTAAAAATTTCAAGGTTTTGGAAATTTAATTTTGCATTAAATTTATTTTTATTTTAATCTTTAATAATTCTTAATTTCAATGAAATATTTACATATATTTTCATATATTCTATACATACATACATAAATACGAGTATTTCAAAACTAAAAAATATATAATTTACAGCTTAAATGGCAGACACACATCCAGTCAGTAATTGGAAATCAGTCTCTCTTCTCAACGTTACCCAGGCTGATCGCGCTTTTACCTCGCTCACCTAACCGAATAAGTTTGGTACAAATAATTTCTTCTTTTGCGCATGATGATGCTTGACGCGCACAATGGGTGTGAAATACACGTAACTTTCCGCATCGGCAGCATAATCTTTGCGCCGATTGCCATTGCTAACGGGTGTAATTCGGCCATCACTTATGTAATAATAGCCAGATGGTAATTGTCTGTCCAAAATGTTATTATAATTATCGAGACTGTCTAGATCATAAAACGATTGTGCTGAGCCGTTAAGGATTCTCCACAATATTAAGATGAGTGTAAACCAGATGGCTGTAGTGTGGCGCTGGAATAAGGAAAAAATTCAGAGAAAATTATTTTATTTACTCTCATAATTCCTTATGAATTCTCGTGCTCACCGAATAATTCATTTTTCACTTAAATAAATTCAACTCCCGAAACTTCTGAAAACAGTATTTTTGTAATTTGTATACACCGTAAGAGTTCTACTTTCAAGGTAAGTCAATTTCTGTTTGTTGCCATTTAGCCTTCGAGCCAACTTTATATACTCGCCAAATGTTACATTCGAAGCTTGATTTTGATTGAGATTTTGGCACATGCCGTTCAATTGAGCTTAGAAAGAAACTCGAAACGGAAACGTTGAAATTTCATAAATATTCCGAGTTTCGCTTAAAAAATTTGCGACATTTACGAAAGAGTGTCTACATATCATTCACACCTTTTCGAACGGGAATGTGAATCATGTTTGAATGTGTGTGTGTTAGTGTGTGGCTGTTTTTAACATATTCAACCAAAACATTGGAGTCGAAGCGCCACTGCGAAGTTTTATTAATTTGAATTGTTATTAATCAAAATATCTATGGAAAAATTATTAATCGCGGAAATCTACTACGCGTTGCTTTTATCAGTTTCATATTAAGAGGATTCCAATGAGTGAATGGACAAATTCTAAACAGGTTTTGTAGACAGGGAATATAGTCTTATTTCTGCTGCTTCTTGCAAAATAAGAAAAAAGTGCTAAACTACGCTAACAGTGGGTAGAGTACTCGTCGTTCTGTTACAAGCACTAAGTCAATGAATCGCTTAGAAACTAATCATGACGCATAAAAGTTCCTAAATTGCTATTGATATTTCGCTAAGATTGGTCGTGAGTCGGCGTTCGCTTCTGTTTCTGGAGCAACTATCCATCCCCATCCCTTATGGGCAGACAAGATTGGTCCAAGTCATAAAACGGGAGGTCGCGTAAACGAGCTGTTTCGACGGTTTTAAAACAGAGGGAATTTAGGTGTAGATAAGTAGGTTTTAAGGCTAACGCAAAGAGATGGGTAGTGTCATGCGCATGTCTCATTGCATGCAAAAAATACCTTCTGTATGTCGGATAAGTTGGAATTCAATCGACTACAATACTTAAATCTTAATTATGTCAGTATTACTCGGGCTCAGAGCTCTATGAAATACATGTTTGAATCCCGAGAATGCCGAAGGAGTCAACGAACTTACGGCGAATGGCGTTTAAAGCCTGTCGATACGCCAGTGGTTCTTGTACGAGGTGCTGAATGAAGCCATTGCAGTTGAGTACTGTGCACGGGTGGTAGCTCGACTTCAAGTAAATGTGTATGGCGAAGCATTTACCCCCAAGCCATCGTCCCCATAAGCTAAGTAAAATAGAAAAGTATAAAACGATGTACGCCTACTTAACGGTTGTCGACATTGTCTAAGGTTCGGAACCATATATTTAGAAGGAGGGCAATGATGGGGGTATTTTAGAATTTGGGTTTGGTTCACCGAGAGAGGTCTTTATTGTTCGTTTGCGTGCTGGGTAAAAAGTAACATTTGTTGTCTAGAGTATTTCTGCAGCGGATTTTAAGGTTAACACTGTTGTTGGTGTTGTGTTGGTTCCTATATAGCAGAAAAAACAAAGCTAGGGCTCTTAACAGTGATATATAAGTCAATATGCAAACGCACTGACTATTCCTCTTGCCCACGTCCAAGTCTAGTGCTCATCCGATTCGGTTATTTTAGAGAAAGCAGAACTAACGGCACGATTGTGATATGTTGTTGTTGTTACTATTTAGAAATTAAAAAAACACATTTTAAGAGTTCTTGGATTATTAATGAATACTTTAAGTAATTTTAATGAGAGCGAAACTTTCACAAATGGTTTGCTGGGTTATGATTTTATTCATTCATGCAATAATACAAATGATAACTACAAATTACACAAGCAGATCCAGGAATATTCAAAACATGTGCTTGTTTTATTATTAGATGTTTATTTTTTCACTTCAAAATAAATATTTTTGTATTCATTTAATTTAAATATTTACTCCAACTAGCAAAGTATAATATAAAAATTATAGGAAGTTAATTTTGATTTGTATTCAAATTCACACTCTTCGATAAATTTTAAAAGCAAATTAACAAACCTTTCATTAATATCTACCATAAACAACAACACGCAAGACAGTCAGCCGGATTGCCAGAAACTGGCGCTAAACCGAAAGCTAAGAAAGAGAAGCTACAAGCGTTCAAAATATCGCATCGTAGATTGCTATGAAAATTTCATCACGACAAATACTCAAAACAAAACACATTCGACCACACGATATCAGTGCAGACAACAATGTCATATTGACTTTCTGCACAGGACTGCATACAAACAGGTATTAAACGACATTAACGAAGAGATCATTAAGTTCAACGTATTGTAGACAAATCATGTCTCGGTTCACTATCTATTAAGATCTTATCCACCCTTCTCTCAATTCAATAAAAACGCAGAGGCACAGGAATCATCCATCCTTTAGGCAGGATTTAAAAAGCAGTTTGAACAAAAAAAGACATTTTTATACAGATGTTAGTATAGGTAAATTATTTTTTATATTATATAGCTCTCCTTTCCAAAAGTGCAAATAACTGTTCCATGCAAAAATTACAAATACGCCATGTTGTGCGAATAACAGTTAAAAATTACTGTAGTTTAATTTAGTAATATTCGTTTTTCGTATTAAATACGAAGTAGCAAATTTATTAAAAGAAAATAAGTCAAAACCGAATGCAGGCTGAATGTACCTACATATGTATGTATGTATCTTACTACGCCAGCGGTGTTTTAGTTTCTTCAAACCACATCAAGATAAGTTTAGGTAAGTTACGAAAATAACACCTATTCTCAAGACAGTTATTATAACAGCATATTTATTTTATTAAAAGCTCAATAGCTATAATTAATTTAGTAAACTTTATTACAGTGTAATATAAATCATTAAACAATAAACGTCAGCCTTTACTCTTTTTTGAGCAGCAAATGGCCCTTAGGTTTCAATTTATTGTTCAAAATATTTTCCCTTTCACTGTTTTTCTCTGCTTGTATTCGTGCATAGCGTTTCTTTGCGAAATCTAACTCTCCGTTTAATGTTACTATTTTTGCGGCAATTTCTTGCTGCTTCTGCAAACGTCGCTTTTGGTTAGCCTGTAAATACAATAATTATTTTCCTATTTACTAAAATAAATTTAAGGCATGAACATACTCCCAGCGGTGTAGGGCGACCATCCAAGAAACTATAATCAGGTAAATTAGTTAGCGGACCGAAAGCATTCGGATTTCCTGGCAGCCCCTTGTCTTCACGCCACTTTTGATCCAGGGCTCGCATTGACGTACAAGAAATTTGCCGCGTAACTACGAAGACATATAACATTACTTAACATATTTGTGAATTCCATTAACAAATTAACTTACTTGTAACATTTTGTGCAACATTTATTAAATAATTTGGAATCCTCAGCATCTTTGCTTATTTAACCACAATCAACGTCAAGAAAAACTATTTACATATGTGAACATAACCTGTTCCCGCTGTCGGGATCAGCTGTTTTTGCCTAGCACTTGATTTGGCAGCACTCTTCAGTTAGGATGTAAATAAACAAAACTTCGGCAAAGTAACTATATAAAAGTTTAATTCTTAAAAAGTAATATAATATATATGGCGCAACGTTTAGAGATAAAATTAAAACAACCTAATCCACTTTTTGAAAAGTGGTTGGAGAAATGGCTAGAGGATGCAGAACGGCGCAACACCAAGTCACAGTACAAACTACGTGAAGCCTTACAAGCTCTTCGAAGTTATCCGCTTCCACTATCTTCAGGACGAGAATGTGCTATTCTCAGAGGGTTTGGAACTACTTTGTGCAACCTTATTGATGAAGAACTGCGACTGTATAATGTAAAACATAAAAACGATGTACCTCTACAATCTACGATGCAAACTTTCGAATCAGATGTAAAACAACTAGTCGAATCGGTTAAGAAAAGCAAGTGCCGAAATTCACCCAAAAAAACCCAAACAAAAATCACTAAAAAGGTACAGAAAGCAATAGCTGAAGAAGAAGAACGTCAACGTCAAGTGGTAATGAGTCCGGGCAGCTTTCGCATCATACTTCTTGTTGATACCCAAGAAACAAGTGGTAAAAATAAACGCACTTTGGATCAAACTCGTAGCTACTTGGAAAGTTTTGAACTTTTATACGAAGTTCGACGATTGACCATCGGTGATTTTCTTTGGATTGCCCGTGACCAGGAAGGTAATGAACTTGTCTTGCCATTCATAGTAGAACGCAAACGATTTGACGATTTGGCTTCAAGTATACGTGATGGTCGCTTTCACGAACAAAAACATCGATTACGTCAATGTGGCTTACAAAACGTTATCTACTTGGTCGAAGATTATGGAGACAATGAACATCTAGGCCTGCCCATGGAGTCCTTACAACAAGCAATTGTTAATACACAAATACATTCAGGCTTTACAATAGCACATACCCAAAACAACTTCCGCTCTATGAAGCATTTACAAGGTGTTACAAAAACATTGATACGGTGTTTTAAGGAAAAGGTGTTATTAAGTACTGCTAAAGAAAACTTACGACCCTATCATTCTTCAGCTGATATGGTCGGCCTGCTCAAATTTCGTACCCTCTATGAGGACTCTGCGCGTGGAGCACAATTGACAGTACGTGAAATATTTGTCCAACAGTTGTTGCAATTGCACTCGCTATCGTTGGAAAAAGCCTTAGCCATCGTTGAAGTATACCCCACCCCACGATTGCTTTTAGATGCTTTTGAGAGATGCACAACGGAAAAAGAAGCGCAATTGTTGTTAGGAAAAATTAAATGTGGCCCATTGCAACGACCATTTGGAGATAAACTAAGCCAAACAATATATGAATTTTACAAGACTGAGTTTTAAAATCATACATATTTAATTATTTACGCTGGAAAAATACTTAGTTAATAGCAGCTTATGTAATTTGATATACCATAATGAAATAAAATATTAATAGTAGAAAAGCAGTAAAGTGTTTAAGATAGTTATTGTTTCGCATTCAATAACGTTTAAGATATTACACATTTGTGTTTCTAATCAAAATTATATAATTCAGCTTTCTTTCAAACTTGCCAGCGAGATTTTTAAACACATTGTGATATTAAAATAATTTTTATATGTTCAAATTGGATTTTTTTAAATCAAATTTGAAATTTCAGTGTTGCCCATCGTTTGACGCCTAAAACTGTTCCCACATCAAGCGAAATGTCAACATGACATTTACTAATTTATTTTACACGTACATTGACTTTTTTCTCTAATCATTGCACGAGATTAAGATTAATTAAATTACATTTAATTCAATTTCCTATTAAGCTAGAATCATAAGTAAAATGTCAACAAAGACTAGCACAATCGAACGCAACAGTAATGGCAGCTCAAAGTCGGTGAATCTATCAGAGATTTGCTCCCGTGCATTGAAAGCGAACTCTGAATGGCCAGACAAGGTGCGTAGACAAGTGAATGAAAGTGGTGTGAGAAATTATGACCGCTGGAACTCCGAATAAGTAATTTATTCGTATAAAACGAACGAATAAGTAATTTATTCGTATAAAAATAGAAAGTGTAATTTTCTTTTTGCTTTTGCAGGACGAGTTTCTAGACGTTATCTACTGGGCCAGGCAGATCTTTGGTATCCTTTTAGGCATTGTGTGGGGTATTGTTCCATTAAAAGGGTTCTTAGGATTGGTACTGTAAGTTATTTTTATCAAATTGAATGCAAAATCTTATGTTAATATTATTATTTCCCACTTTCAAATAGATTCGCTGGTATCAGCTGTGGCATAGTATACATCTATGCCATAAATTTTCAAGGTATTGACGAAGAAGCCTATGGTGGTGCTTGGGAGTTAGTCAAAGAGGGATTTATGACCTCGTTCGCCGGTTTCCTAGTGACGTGGATAATATTTTATACTGGACTGCATTACGATATGATAATGGCAGAAAAGGAATTGGCGTAATTAAGATTAAGGAATTAAGGATTGCCGATTTGTTATTAAATGTTACAGTTATCATTCAAAGTCGAGTTATTAAAACTTTATCCACTTCAAAAAATGTCAATAATATAATGCCAAAACGAATCAACAAGGTGACACCACTGACCGGTTTCCTTTCCAAATATCTAGGTAGTTACTTATACTTGATTACATGTATTTGTACTGATGTCATGTTTTTAACTCTTAGTTAAAATAATTAGAAAAATTACGAAGCATATGTACGTAACCTAGTTTTAAGCGCGGCTTTCGTTTTGCTCTGCATTCATGCATTTCCTCGTACCTAAGGGTTTAAATGTAAAACTATCCATGTGTTTTTAATTTTTCTATGAAAAAATAAACATACGTTAATTACGGTTAATTCTTTAAACTTGTTTTGTTTTAATTCATATTTTTATTACAAATTTTTACCCGAAAGTTCGATTAAAATCAACTACTTTATAAGTTATTTTTCACTAATAATCCATACTTTCTACTCCACTTCCGCCAGTCGCATTACCATTTTGAGACGCGCCGTTTTGATTTATTTCCAGCTCAAAGTTTTCCGGCAACTGTCCACTTTGCAATATACGTGATAATCGTTCAACTTCTTGAAGTGAATTAGCTCGTTTTATCGCATCGCGTATGCGCTGCAAGTCCTCTGGATTAGCCACTCTCGCCGCACTACCCACCCCGGGTTTGCCGCCCGCTTCCGCTGCAGCCGCCGATGCATTTAATTTGGATTTCTTCGCCACTTCCTTTAACATATCTTTACCTTGTTTTGTGCGGAAATACTCTTGGGCTTCCGAGCGATCCTTTCGTTTGATCTTCCTGAAGTCGAGCAAACGAAGGTGAGGAAATTTGAAAGCCATATATTCACGATAATAAGATTTCGTTGAAACAGGATTTACAAGCAGACATAGTGTCTCCAGACGAGGTAGTAATGCAAGTGGCTCCAAATCACTCAAATCTTGAATATTATTTCCAGTTAATATAACTGAGCTCAAATTGGGTACCGCTTCGTGTAAACCATCCCCAATACGCAGGATACGATTATTATTTAAAAGGAGGCATTTGAGGCGAGGCAAAAACGGCAAGCCATCCAATTTACGCAGATCATTATCTGAAAGATCAATTGTATCAAACTGATCTAGTGTGGCTCCTAAATTTTCAATCTGCGGAATTTTGTAACCGCGCAAATCCAATTCTCGCTCCCGACAGGGATTTATGAACTGCATAGATTGATTAATAAGTTCCGGCGTCAATTTTACCATTTTCTTTAATTCGTGTCTTTAAAGTCCGGCAGTATTACTTGTAAAAATTTTCTATTTCAGTAAAAATACTAAAACTTGTTTATATTTGATAAATTCTCACATAAATTGCAAAATATACGAAATTTACAATGAGGACAAGCGTCAATTTAACAAAATAACCTTATTTGACAAGCCGCATGTCAAAATAATAATGCTGCCCAATTGTTCGAAATTCACCCAGGGATGCATTGTATAAATTCAATAAAAGCACAAGTATCAGAATATTACCTAACCCCTTCTGTGTGCCAAAATTACGTTACATTAATTTAAAAAATAAAATGAAAAAAAAGTATACAAACCTATGTAACCAATTTAAGTTACCAACCCTCGGCGGGTTAGCGGTGCAAGAATTTACCAGTGGTAAGGCATGCCTGTCGTAAGAGGCGACTAAAATCCAATAGAACTGCTTTAAGGAATATTTTTCCGGTTACAACAACAACAACAACCAAATAAATAAGTTTGTCACAAATATTTGATTTGTTCCCTTTGTCTAAAGGGAATCGACCAGAACGGCTACTTCTTATCAAAAAGAGATGTGAAGAGGAGGTCCTTTCAGCGGCAAAAACGCAAATGAAAAATGAAAGTAAATAAAAATTAATATTCGTTATTTCGTAGATCTAAAGTTAATAATTCTTTCAGAAAATATGCCACATCCCTCGTGGCTGGCAAAATTTGATATAATAAATAACTCGTCACATTTGACTTGAAACAAAAAATACGTGATTACTTAAATATTTTGTGAAAATTAAAAACCATAACTTTTTTTTAACCGGGTTGCATTAAGCCAATGAAGAAATGTTTCGAAATGATTTGATCACTGAGAATAAATAAAATTTTCTTAGATACGAATATACATATGTACTATACATACATATAAGCTTTCAATATAAAACTTGATTAGCGATTAAAATACGTTTAAGAACCTATTACGAAAATGAAACTACAATTCGTTTGGTTTTATTTATTTATTTTGAAATCATTTTCACAAATTTTATTTTATTCATCAGTATGCGGTTTCTTTGCTCTTTTTCGTTTCTATTTGAAAATGTTCATTTCAATATTTACCTCAACTAATTTTGTTTCAGTGCAGTTAATAACTATTTCATTAATTTTATGTTGAAGGTGGGGACTAGAAATTCATTATTTATCATTGACGACCGGTTATTTGATCGATCTTATAATGTGTCTCCTCATGCTTTTCTGAAACTCTGAACAAAATTGCCTATTTCCTATGTTAATTGCAGTTAGTCTCAATTTTCAAATTTCCAAATTTTTTTTACTATAATCAGCTTTTGGTTTAGTATTATATCATTTGGGTTAATACTTTCCCTTATTTCATTAGTAATGTGACCAATTCAATTAAATTTTGTAATTTACATTTTCGGCATTTAATTATTTCAATACATTTTGTTAATATTTTGTGTGCCCGCCACTCTTCCACACATTTATAAGTAAGGTCATAAAATTATTATGAATCAAATCGTCCTATATTAAAATATATTTACATTTTAATAATAAAAAAAATAGCAACCGAATTTCATAGCGTTTATAATTAAAAAATAAACTCCTTCGAATAAACGTTAGAACACTTTGTTGGTTTATAATAAAAAAATGCATTATTTGAAAGAAATGCTTTTAATTTAAGATTGTCGCTTTTGCCGCTTTAATTATATAATAATTTTATTTAGAATTTTTATATTACTTTTAAGCGAAATACTTTTAATTTTACTGCAACGAAGCTACTGCTATTTTTAATTCAAGATAAAATAAAAGCGATTTTAACTGATTTAAGCAAAATCGAAAAAATTCTGCTGCGCAAATTTAATTTCATTTAATTTACGAAAATGTATTTATATTGCGTTGTTTTTATGTGCGATTTGTGTAAAATAAATGCATTTTGAATGGAAGCCGTTATAAAAAATATATTATACATAATTATATTGGCATGCGCATTTACATATATATAAATATTCGCTTTAATGTTAGTAAATTCACTTTCAATCATTTTGCCGATTTCATAAAAAAATTAACCTTTTTATCCCACATTGTTAGAGAACAGTACCTGTTTTCAAAAAGTTCTGAATCTCATATTTTGTATATAAAATTGTTTTTTACTTCATTTTTAAATAGCAATTGCAATTGTTGGTTTATTAATTAAATTTTTTTATTTTATTCATTTATTTATTAAAGGTTATTCACTTGTTCATAAAATATGATTGGCACTTAAAATCAATACATACATACATACATGTATATTTTATTTATATAGAAATGTATATCAGCATATGTAAACACATTCGTACAATTTTGGATTTAATACAAAACTCGCGCACACATATACATTAATTTGTTTTTGTTTAAATTTAAATTTATAGTAAATATTAGTGTTTCATATCGAAATTATTATCATATCGTAAATTAACATCACTATTATGATCATCCCTTATTAACGGGCAGTTAACAAAAAGAGAATAAAACATATTCATACATACATACAAACAAGCATACATAACTCATTAAAAGTATAGTTAAAACTAAACGCATAATATAAACCAAATTTTTAGTTTAATATAATTATATATATGTATATATATAAGAATATACTTTACATTGGAAATACTTTCGCTCTGCAAGGAATGCAAATATTTTAATGATATTTCGAAAAATAAATGTACTTGATAATGCGGAAATAGTGCACAAGATAGATTTTGATTAAATATAAAATAATAAGGCTCAGAATGATTGCACGAGTGAGAGTGTAATTAAAATAAAAATATTAATAAAATTTCGACACTTGTATTATGTTTTTATAAAGATTATTTTTTTTTACATTTTGTTTCCCAATCATTATTTTTGGCCCTCTAACCTACATACAAACATATTATGTGCAGTGTGCGTTATGCATTCAATGTTTAATATGTAATTTGCATTTACTTGATTCATCCATTAAATAAGTTCTTTTTCTTTACTTTAATTATTATTATTATTATTACTCTTTTTTCAACATTTTACTACACGCTTACTACCCCAAATTGCTGTTGTCGGAATAGCAGTTACGTCACTGCGGTTCTCTGCAATCTAATTTATTCCATTTAAATTTCTGTGTATGTACTCGAGATGTTTTACAAATCAACAACATCTTCCTTAGTGTATTGTGTATCTCTAAACAATCGTCGAGTCGAAGAGCGTTGTAGGCCTTCAACTAATGTCTCCTGCAAGAGATGATTCGGGGGGAAGAAAACTTAACATTTGCCCAGTGGTATTTATATTTATATATGTTGAACAAAATTATGAAGCGAATTACACAGCTATAGTATTGTATGTATATAAAAAAAAACATTTCACAAATGAAAAATATTATGCATGCAGTTGAGTTTCCGTTAAATGGATTGTTGTAAAATTAATACAAATATTGTTAGTGTACATTTATAACGCTAAAAATATGTATACATATATGAGATTTCATCAATGAAAATATGACCGATTTAATACAGACAATGCTGAAAATTATCAACAACAAGAAGTAATTAAATAAGAAGTAATAATTTCTTGTATAAGAATTTCGATATAAAATAATACATAAATGTCAAATCACAAGTCACATCTTCATATTTTCTTATTTTTGTATGACTATCATATAAACATTGTTGTTGTTTCCCATGCAAAAGTGAAATATAATATGACAAATACAACATAATAATATGGATATCGTGTAAATTAAATTGGATAAGACCGAAACATAAAAAGATTTTGTTGTTTATGTGATGCAAAACACCGGTGCATAAGTAGAGTGCGGCAGAAGAAATATTACACAATATGACATCAAAAGTGACTTTTTTTTTAAGACTATTGGAATATGACGTAAGACGTAAAACAAAGCTTGTGAGTTGCATAAATGTAACAAGCAAAAATGATATTTTTAAAAATACTTTAGTGCAAGCGTTTTTAAAATTAATATCTAATCAATTTCGCTTTGTGTATTATTTTGTCAAACTGATTCGATTTTCAAGGACCTCGAAATATGAATATGATGCAAACAATATGATTTAACCTAACAATGTTTGATTATTATTTTTATACTATACATACATACATAATAGATCGCAATGATAACATAAAACACATGGAATGATACAAAACAGAAAAAATCAAAACAATTATGAAACACTTTTATATGAATATTTGCCATAATAATATGAATAAATTTATAGCTTAAAAATTGTTAAACACAAATGTTAGTTGAAATTTAAAACACAAATTTAGCACAATAACATAATGATGAGCAACATAAGTAAGCGTGATGTTTTTCAAGCGGCAAATAATTTTCAGAGCCAGCGATTCATTAAAACACTGTATAGTATATGTATTTTGAGAAGTTCTGAATGACAAATGGCAGCACGTTGTTTCTTTAATTGAATGTCGGATATGTACTTATGTGCGTTTTTGTGTAAATCTTCAGAAATAAATGATTTATTTTAATTTCTATAGCCTTATATTAGCACCTCATGTAGTGATCGGTTACATCTATTGAATGAATACAAGTAGATCCTGCGTTGACAACAAGCACACTTTCACAAATACGTACACACCCAGATGCGCAGAAATGTTGATTGATCAACGCATGTTAGACAAACACTGAACAGCAATGAAAAGGATATAGTACACACATTTTTATTAGTTTCATTTAAAACTGTCAATAAAGGCGCAACACATTGAAAGCGTTTCGATTGTTAGCCACTGCATTTCTAAAATTTTACTTTGGTTAGGCCAAATTTTGTATCTATGTAGAGCATTTTGCTGCACATTTTTTTTAAAGCGCAAAATTCTTGTTCTCAAACCTCGAATAAAGCAGATATCTCTTTGCCCGCTATGCGCTTAAAGCCACCGACAGGAATACCCAAACTCGATGCATTACTGCCACTGCTGAAACGATCACTTATATTGCTTTCACTTGCATTCGTATTGGTGCTATCGCGGTTGGCGGTGTGTGTGGTGGAAGCGGTTGTGTTGGCACTGTTGTTGCTGCTGTTGCTAGTACCGTTACGTATGCTTATGATTTCATTCGTTATGAAACTGCTACTGCTGCTGCCATTGCCGTTTTCAGTGATAACGGTTTTGGTGAGCAATGTTTCATTATCTTCATTACCATTCACTGTCCCACTTGACGACTTAGAGGTGTTCACGCTTGTTGTTGTGGTTGCTGAGCTACTGCTATTGCTTGTAATTCTCATGCGTTGCGTTTGTTGCATTTTTGTTGATGCTGTTGTGGTTGTTGTTGTTACCGATGTTGTTGTACTACTGTTACTATTACTGTTACTCCTACTACTCGCACTACTACTGCTAATGCTACTACTGTTCGTGCTAGTGATGTGCGAGGTGGACGCTGACTTGGATACCGCGGATGCGCCGGTGAGTAGTGTTCTCGGCAAAACTTGTGGCTTCATTGGCAGATCTACATATTGTTTCGATTCACATGCCAAACAAATAAAAATATATATAAATAAAGGATAAAAGAATAAAGGAATGTGAGAAAAATAAACAAATAGAAGAAAGTAAAGAAATAATTTATATTGAAAATAGTGCTAGATAGAAATAAAAGAATCGTGCAGGTTTTCTCAGTTGACCAAAATACCACAAAAATGTGAGAACATCCATCGTGTGCAAACAATTTTCTCTTACTAAACGTTCAAAATATATTAAATTAGATACCGGATGGTTTTTCTTACCTAAGCGGTTTAGACCCGCCGCAAGCTCCCTAACAGATTTTTTCTCTAAAGCTGGACCTAAAGAAAAAGTAGAGGAGAAGTAGTAGATTAAAATAATATTCATATATAATAAGTACGCAGGTTTAATAAAATTGAATGACTAGAATTTCATAAACAAAAAAATAAATTTTTTCTTTAAAGTTAGGTTAAACCGGATAGCTGCTGCGCCTCTATCCATATACCTACTGGATCCTTATGCTTCATTAGTGGTTAAAAGAAACAACCTACTTGCATTCAACATAAATGAACTTACCTGACGTACTGCCGACGTTGTTGCTACTCTGACTAAACGATAACGACTCAGCATCTGAAACATTTATTAACAAATAAATATATTAAATAACGAATTCCCACTGGCTCATACCTTCATCGAGTTTTTCGGGTGTCGTCTTGCTGGAATCACTGCTTTGGAAATCATTAGTACCAGGCGCTTTAGGCTCACTGCCAACCACAGACCAAGGACGTGGCTTCTGAAGGATTATTGGCGTGCGTATGACACCGTTTGTGGTCTTAACACTAATGCCATCGCCACCAGTGTGGCTGCGTATAGAGTCGGTGCTAGGTGAACGCATTTTACTCTCTCGTTCTGGAGCTTTAAGCACCGAATTCACTTCATCGTTTGCAACTGCGCTGCTACCTTCTGTGCGCATCTTCACCAGCGGCGATTTGCGGCCAATCAAAGGTGAATATTTTTCCAAATTATCTGTGGAACGTGAGCGCGTAGTCCAAGGTGCACCTGAAATTAAAAAAAAGCAAAGAAAGCAAAACAATTTAGTAAAATAAACATTTCAATGCAATTTAAATTATTACATTTACCCTTCAACAGCGGTGACTGTCTATCCAATTTAATGGGTCTGCGTTCTTCCAAAATTGGTGTAGTCTCTTCGGACGTCAAATGCCCATTGCCATCACGACTCATTGTTGGACTATCAACAAACGACAGCGAACTGCACTCCTCGGAGGTGGGTGAAATGAGTGGCGTCAATGTGGTCGGCGTTACAGAGCCCGGACGAAAGAATAAATCTAGACCTTCGCCAATCTCCTTCGTGCTCGGTCCAGCACTATTGTCCACTGCAACCAGCGGGCGTGTGGGTGCACGCGTCTTAGCACGTTTTGGACGTCCCTTAACCAAATGTTGCAATTGAAACGACGCGCTTGGCAATTCCGTAATAGAGTCACCGCACTCATCACCGCCTAAATCATCTATACCGTTACCACTGCCACCGGTGGTTGTACCAGCAACGCTAGCGCCCATACCATTCGAATCGCGTGGCGACAGTTGTGATGATGAGCGGTGCGAAGAGGGTGATTCAAGCAGATCGGGTATATGACCCAAGCTAAGGTTCTCGACAACGGATTGTGGACGCACTTTGCGTGCAACCGAACGTCGCTTGGTGGGCATATGTGGTGTGGCCTATGGAAAAGTAAATTGAAAGCAGAGGGGAGGGCAGAAAGAAAGAAATGATATTAGTAATGTGATTTATAGTATGAGAAGGTGAATGATGCAAGTGTACAGGCAGAGCGAAAATGAATAGAATGGTGAGAGTTGGTAAAAAAGCATACTAATAATATATACGTAAGCGAAAAAAGATATGTCTAAAAAGTATATTGTGCCGAATCGCCATGGTATTCATATGCTAATACAGTTAAGCTTCTTGGTTCACTATCAATTTGTTGAATTTTTTTTTTCATATTAATTGAATGAAAGTTTTTATTTTCATGGGCAGGCACAATAAGTAGTTCGGGAACTCTTCGTTTAAATAAAATATATATATTGATGTATTTTTAATGTTATGCTATTATTGATGAATAGATTTGGTATTTTATGAAATGCTTAAAGAATGGAAATTTACTTCACATACACACATGCTATAAATAAAGAGTAATATGTATGAAATAAACTAATAAATAATATTAAAACCCTGTTTAAATATTTTAAAACTATTTAATTAAGCTTTCTTTTTCTTTGCTTATCAAGAAGAGGACACAAAGGAAGTTTTGCACCACCTGCGGGCTAGAGGTTCAAATTTACTCGCGGTAAGGCAAATTCTTGATTTACCTAAATTTTCTTTTTATTTAACGAGAAGTCGATGGAGGTCAAACCTTCAATATTCTTTCGAAAAATGTCTATTTAAAAACTTTGTATTTATGTTTCGATCTGTTAACGTTAGTTTTTATTTAACAAAAAAAAAAAGAATATTCATTATAAATAATTATTAATGGCAAAAAAGGATTTTAGGTTCATATATGGCATACACGTATTTTCAAATAATAAATATTAAGTTTTCAAAAGTTTATAAAAAGCGAATATGTATGTATATACAAAATATGCTAACATGCTTACAAAAATATAAAATTGAGCGCTAAAAGGCAACTACTTACAAGGTTCAAATATTCCAATTTCTTAATGGATGAACATTTTGTGACATTTTGATTTGTTTTGTGGCGTTAATTTTTATTTTATTTTTTTATTAGTATGTCATGTGATTGTATGTGACAAAATTTTGCATGTAAGAAGAGCGTTGATTGTAAAATGATTTTCGTTGTTTTCAGTTATTGTTGAGTCCGAATAATGTAAGAGTTTATAATTTTGCGATTTTGAATAAAATATAAAAATGTATGTATTTATTGAGGAAACATGTAGAAATGTGTTGTTTAAGTATGGTTGTTATTTATTTTAATAAGAATTTTTTAAAAGTGTTTTTTTGTATGATTGAGTTCATTGAATTTCAAAGAATTATATTGATAACATCCCATAAAATTTAATTTTTTTTTATTTCATTTCGATAAAGAAATATGCAAAGAGTCATACAAACATACATACAGATGCAAAGTGAGTGGTGAAGATTGCACGTAAATGGTTTTTTTTTTGTTGTTGATGAAGAAAGGGGAAGACACAAAACAAAACACAAATGCTTTCATTTAATTCATTTTTTCTTTTTTGTTTATAGGTATATATATTTTGCTATATATTTGAGGTTGAAATAGCTGCTGAACAGTAAGTCTCTTTGTTTTTTTTTTTATCTAAAACCAGTGTGCATGTATTCGTGTGTATGCGTGTGTGCAGTGTTCTACTTTAAAATAAAAATAAGATTACATTCTTCTCCTTAATGAATTTGTGTATTGTGTGCCTGTGTGGTGACTGTATTGGTGGCTGTGTGCGAGTGCATTTTGCAATTTTCAATATCAGTTGTGTGTGTTTGTAAGCATATATATGTGTGTGTGTGTGTGTACTTAGATTGTTTGCTACTTTTGACTGCTGCTTTTCAGAGACTTATCTTGTTTAATAATTGTTGGCTTTGCAATTAATTTATAAATATATATATTTATTAAGTACATATATCTTTGACATATTTATATGCATGTCGGTATGAAAGTCTAAGATGCTTTACACGAATTTAACACAATTATTTTTATATATGTATGTATTTAGTATGATGTTTGCTACACTTGCGCGCTTGCAAGTGGTTATTAGTTAAACGTTAAGTTTATGTTTTTGTTTATTGTTAAATGGAAAATGCTATGAATCACGCATCTGTTCTAAATTATGCAAACATTATAGCTATTGATATATGTATGTATATGTATATTGCTTTAATGGATTCTAAATGCTGTCTAAACGGCCAGTGGAGTGTGTGTTGAGGGTGGGGAAACTTACAGTGGGCGATTCCAGACCCATTTTGGGTAAAACTGAGCCACGTCCTGGGCGTATTATCAAACCGTCAGCATCCTGAAAGTGTAAATAAATGATATATAAATACCGCTGGAAATTTTAGATTATTAATAAAAACTAATAATATTCTACAAAAAAAAAAATTAAAAAAAAACAATGATAAAAATAATAATAATAAAAGCCTGGTCTCTATTCACTGTGCACTTAAGATGATATTAGTTGAAATAACGTCCATATAATATCATAAAGCGACGGAATTTCTACAAACAAAATTTCTTCTATGGAATGCTGCAAGTTTCGCAAGCGATAATAAACACACATGCATGTATGCCAAGAGGTGCAATAAAAGTGAGTGGAAAAATTGCATATCTAGGGCGATGGCTCTTGAAAATTTTAAATCTAAATAACAAGGAAATATTTATATAGCATTTAATAAATATCCAACGAAACGTAAATTTTACAACAGTGGTAATTAAATTTTATATTTGACTATGTTCTTTGGAAAGAACACACAAATATATCACTATGTAATGTATATTAATTACCTATAAAAATATTGTGTAGAATATAAAAGACATATGGTTCACGCTTATACGGGTCAAGCTTTAATATATTTATTAAAAGCAGAACTGCGTACCTAAGTCAAGCTAAGGTTACGATTTTTCGATCTAAGAATCTGCTGCTAAAATATGGTTTGTCCGTAATCGAATATCGCATAAATCAGTTTTAATCAAATTGTAAAACAAATTACCACTTTGCTAATAATAAAAGTTATTAATAATTTTATTAATAAATTGAACTTATTAATAATTTTAACATTTTAGATAAAAAAGAGCGATTATCCAATTCCTTTGGAGTCAACGCGATTTTAATATTTTTTCATGAAATCTCTCGAAATTTGATTTTATATATTTTTTTAATATATGTATATAATAACTTTTGAATTTGCTTCCCTTCTTCTAGTGTTTAGCCGGTTCTTAGGTTTTTCGAACTAAGATTCTTCTCTTAATTTTTATGAAAATATGGTTTGTACTTAATTGACTATAAGAGCAAACTAAATTTACTTTAAAATATGGTGCAAACAATCAACTTGCACTATAATTTATATTATTTATATAAAATATTAAATTTTTTTTTAATTTCTATTAATAAAAATAACGAGTATCAAAAGTGCTACAGGAATTCATAATTTTTTTCTGATATCTCTTGCTATAAAAAAAACTTGAAGTTAGTTTTTAAAGAAGAGAAATCAGAAATTTAATTCGAAAAAGAAAGCGATTTCCGTGAATCAATTTTTGCAACTCAAGGTGCCTATAGGATATAAAATATTAATTTAATTTAATTTAAATGCACTGCAGTTGATGCTCCTTAAATGGATATATTCATTTTGAGCTTTGCATGTCAACGGAATTACAACTAATAAATATGTTTGAATAAACATAACTACATACATACTCCAATCCAATAGCGCAAGTATACTATTTATGCATAAGAGTACGAGTATGTATATTCGTATCGTATGTAGATATATTTGGTCAATGATGACAGCATGAAAGATAAAAGCAAATACAAAATTATACCGAAAATGACTAGTATACGCCAAATTAACACTGAAACAATAGCAACAAAACCAACGAAAAGTATGTGTAAACAAAGAAAAACTGATAAGGAAGCCCAACAATTTGTATGAGTGCCGGCAAATGCTTATCTAAAACAAACTCTGCAGTGTACGAATGTATGCAACCTTCAAGGTAATAAATATACTTTATACATACATTAGTAATATATACAATACTATTGATTTTGAGAATATATTTGGTATAACTTGAAACTATAAATATTTCAAAGTCAGCTGGTTGCAATTAATTGCAATTATTAGCGATTAATAAATTTAAAAATAATCGTTGTAATAAAAATTTCAAATTCTTTTCTATTTTTAAGCCATTTTTTGTAGTTTTAGTTAGCCATATTCCGAAATACTTACATGACTCGAGCGACTGCGCACAATATCCGGCGTTTGTGGTTCATCGAGCAGCACAGATGGTGAATCTGCAATGCCTAAGCCGCGTCGATAACGTGTAAGCGCCTCCAGTACCTCATCGGTGGCTCGATCTGAAATGGACGCTGCTAATGATTGTTCAATTTCGCTGTAAGAGAAAAAGACGTAGTTAGAAAATACTACAATTTTCATAGCGTCTCAATTATATTTGCACATGCACATATAACAAAGAAATCATTTCAATATTGAAAGAATAAAATGCAAACGTAATCACTTTTTCAATGCCTGCCTATCATTTGACGCTTCCTCGTCATCTTCTGCTGACGCATTGACAGTATTCAGTTCGAGTACCACTTGCTCAGGCGCATTTATCGTTTTCAGCAGTTTCCCGGTGGCATGATCAAAGCGCACTTTATAAAAATCTTCTTCATCTTCCTCATCAACTTCCTCTTTCAGTGTTTTATTTGGTATTTTACTGCTATTAGTACTACGTGCACCACAACAACACCAACCGCACCAACTGCGCCCCATTCCTTTACGAATATTCTAAAATTATTGTTTAAATTTTTCACTTTCACTTTTATTTCATAAGTTATTGTATTTGTTGTTTTTTGTTTTTCTTAACCACTGGGAGTAATGATAAAACTAATTAGTCGAGGATCGTCCCAGCAGCTGTTTTAATTACTACAACAGCTGTTAAAGTTCCGTTTATTACAAGGGCTCTACTTGATCTGACGCGCTAAGTAGGAATACTGTGTTTAGCTTTGAGCACAACAACAGCACCGCGCAGCAGCTCGCCAGATTCACACTTTGCTCTCTGCATTCGATTAGAATCTGCGAGGTTTTGTTTGTTACTTATGGTTGATTTTTGTTATGATTTTGCGTACACACTCAGTTTTGCTAGCAGTCATTAGTGATATCATAAAAAAAATTAATCTGAACACAGTAACCAAACGAGTTTATTTTTGAATTATGAGTATTTGATTTATTTCAATTCATTTTCGTATTTCTGTTTTACTCGCTTCTTTCGCAAATATCATATATATATGTGCATATGTACATACGTGTATATGCCTGTGTATGTTCACTTATTTCGCTGCCAATGATTAATCTTATCTATGAGTAAGCTATATGCACACATACACATACGAGTACATATGAGCGTTGGGTCTCTCTAGTATCACAGGCGGCCTTAGGTGAGGACAAGCGATACTTTATCAATAATAGAAAATGAAATGAATGCTCAAAAGCCCACGAAAATTAGTAAATTAAGTGAAAAAGAGTTATCTAAATGCTTTAGAATAAAATAATTTTATTTTCAGGGAAAAAGCGTAGATAACTACGCATTCAATCGAATATTAGCTGTGTAAATACGATGGTTCAAACAAATTATTTTTATCAAAACCTTTATTTGATTACTGCATTTTTTTATTCTTTCGCTACTCCTCAATAATTACAAATGCATAAAAATACTTTCTGATAGCTACTATTTGTCTATTATTCAAGCTTAACACATATATACACCCCAGCTTTAAAAAGCTCACCAAAATTTGAGCAGCAATTCTTATGGCTTACGAACATTGCACAAAACTAAGCAAGCTTTATTATTATTATTTCTTACTCTCTACTCGTTCTCTGCTCTCTCTCTCTCACTCTCTCTCTCTTGCGCACACATTCACACCTTCCGCCTGAGCTCAATGTGCAACTACAATACTTACCCCACTTTGTTCATGATCTCACTGCCGGCATTATTTAGCAGACAGCTTTGTAGAAAATCTTCTGGTATTTGTAGTCGTTCACCGAGCACTTTGCGTAAGTCTTGTATTACCATTTGACTCCCCAATGTTTTGGGACACTGCTCCACTGCGGTGCGCAACATTGTCTCCAACGTCTCTTCCAGATAGCCTTGTATGGTGTAACTGAGATCACTAGCGATACGCGTCAGTTTTATTTCCACCGGATGCGATTCACAACGCACGGCCTCTTGTAATTTTGGCATTAGCTGTTTACAATTTTCTGCATCATCAATAAGCCGTTGCACTGCCGATGAATCGCTACCCTTTGCCACTGAGATGTTATCTTGTGTTTCGGCTACCAGCTTATCGACTAGCTGATGTGTTGAGGAGAGCATAAAGCCGTGCTGCAGGCGGAAACCTTGTCCATTTGTGCGTCCATTACAATTGCGCTGTAAGAGCTCTTGCATTTTACGCATAATCGTATCGGTCTTTTCCGGGTGATTTTTCATATGTGGTGTGATGTCATAGACGGGATATTGTATGGTGCGCATGCTGTGATTATTTTCCAACGCATAAACAATATCAGCATAACCTTGTGGTGTTATATTATTTTTATCCATATAAATTGTGCGCAATTTGTTGTTGATTTGCAAGGCTTTGGCGAGCAGGCGCGCACCCACATCACCCATAAAATTGCCGCTGATGTCTAAAAGTTCAAAGAAACGTGTACGTTAGATATTGGGAAATATATTTTATAGCTTTATGTTTTTAATTAAACAAAAATAAGCCTACAAATATATATATATTTTTTTTTATAAAATTCATCTTAACTTCAGACTTGCTTTGGAATATGGGTAGCTTACCTAATTTCTGCAAACTTTGATTACTGCCCAGCGCATTGATGAAATCGTGTATATCATTCTTTAATTTGTTCTCAGAGATCACCAATTCGGCTAATGGGAAGTCATCTTTTTGTATTAGATTAACAAGCGCATCCATAACTGTGGGAATATGTTTCAATTTCATGCCAGTCAAACTGCGTGTCATGTAAAGCGTACGTATTGAGGGATTTTTCGAAATCGCTGTTAAAACGGGGGCTAATTCGGCATCCAAATCTGAAGAATGATTAAATTCAGTTAGTTATAGGAATATAAATATTTGCAATTGTTTAACGTGAAATTAATAAAACTCTATATCGTCAGTTAAAATGCAAAAATCTACAAGAACAAAACATTTCTATGGAGTAAAACTTAAAAAAGAAAATTAATAAATAATGAAATTTTAGATGGAAAACTCTTGAATTTTGCAAATAAATTATAAATCTGCTTAAACCAGTCTTCAAATTGCATGAAATAATAAAGCTAGTACATATGTTGGACATTTTACAAGTAATATTTGACTTCTTTTGATGATATGTAATTTTTTTTTTACAATATTTTCAACTTACTATTGTCACTTATGTCTAAACTTTGTAAAACACGTACGCCGTGTATACATGATTCCAAAACATGCGCGCCCTGGGCACCTAATGTGTTACTACTTAAATCTAAATACAGTCCGGCAGTGGACTCGTTGCACGCTAAGCCGAGTAGCAAATTTCTGTAAAGAGAAATTATTATCAATTAATATTAAATTACAGATAAATTAATTTAAATATTATTGTATATCTATTATTCTTCACTAACATACCTTAAGATGTGTTCTACTGCCTGAGCTTACATTTCTACGTATTTTCATGGAATGAACTTAATTTAAACCTACTTTATATTAAATTTTGATGCTCTACTATATGATATTTTATTTTAAGAAATTTCAAATAAACAACTAAATTGACTAATTCGAACTATGTTAAGGACAATAAGTTTTATAAAAATTCAAAATTCATTTTAATTCAATTTGGATCTAGATAAAAAGAGTTTGGCAATAGTAATTTATTCCTTTAATAATTGTTTGCTTTACACACCACAAGTTGGAGGAAGTGTTCGGGGGAAAATCGCTTATATATATACATATATATAGAAGTGATTTTCGCCCGAACATTTTCTCCAACTTATGGTATGCGTTTTAATGTTTCTCCAACAAATGAAGGGACCTACAGTTTCTTATAAGCGGCCTCCCAACGGCGAGCTTTGATTTCATGTCCGAAATACGCTCGGAGCGCGTGACAAAAAATAATTTTCATCATTGACAGATCGTCAAAGAATAACCAGGTATCTAACGTTCGATTCTAGCTTAAAATAGTTTACTTAACTAAAATTATCTTACATCTTATTGTACAATCATGTAAACTTACTTCAATGCCTCCATTGGCAATTTACAGCCGGCAATATTTAAATGCTTTAAACTTAATGAACTCGTAAAGAATTGTTTAAACGATGGCGGTATCTCTTTGCCTTTCTTTGTGCTAAAAGAATTATGTGAAACATTTAAGTGTGATAAATGCGTTGCACAACCGCGTAAAAGCGCACCAAATAACTGTTAGCAGATAATAAGGAGAATTAGTACATTTCTAAATTACTAAATCGTTTTTGTAATTATTACATACATTCTCCAATGTTATATCAGTCGATGACAGATCCAAATGTTCCAAAACATTCGGTTGGGCCAAAAAATTATGTAGGTTCTGTAAGTGATTAAATGTTTTTTTTTTATATTTTAATTAATAGAGAGATAAATTTCATTTATTTACAACTTACTGTTATATCATCCTTCAAACTGTTGCCACTTAAATCTAGATGTGTGAGTGAATTGGAAATACTTTGATTCAGCGACAATGAATGCGACATCTGATTTACACCCTTCGAGGTTAGACCACAATGTGCGAGCGCCAGCTTACATAGACCTTTCGAAACTTTGGCAATAGGGCCGGCCAGGTGTATAGCACCTAAGAGTCAGAGGAAAAATAATTTATTTAGTATGATATATTAAAAGGCGTAAGTGGTTTAAAAGGCGAAAATGCAGTTGCGACATCGAAATATGCATATGCGTTCAAAACAAAATCAAAATATCAATTATGCATATTTGGTAAATAAAATTCAAAAATATAATAATTATAAAATATTCAACTATAATCCAATTTATGTAACAAATGGCAAATATGTAAAGCAACCAACGTTTCATGCTATAAATATGAAACTTAATGATGACATTCAGTATATTACGCTAATTATCCTTATTACGAGAATACAGATATTAAATATACTAATAATAAAAATACAGTACAGCGGTAAATCGCAAAATATTTTTATAAATCCGGAAATCTTGAATTGATTACACATTTTTCTGTTGACTAAATATTATTGCTGAATTTTATACACAAAAACTTTTAATCTGATATTAAGATTGTTGATTGGTTCAACTTAATATTTCTAATTTTGAGAAGTGCCTTATTGAAGCTATTTATTAGTTTTTATAGCTCTCTCTAAAGACTGATAATGATTGATAAAGCTTTAAAATGTGTTTTTTGTGTATAGAGCACCAGATCAAAAATAAAAAAAAAAACACACACATAAGTATTGGTTAAAACATTTTTATGAACAATTTTGCTTTCAATATTGCATTTTTTTAATATCTTATACAAAATTAAAAATGATATTTGAGTATTTTTAATTTTAAATGAAAGAAAATTAGCAATAAAGCAGGCATGCTAATAATAATAATAACCATACAGAACGAGAATTCAAATAGCGAAAATTTTAATTTTGCTTTTTTGAACATAAAGATCAGAACAAGAAAAAAAATTTGAGAAGTAGGGGCTTTCTAACAAGAGGATTTTGAATAGCCTGCTATTCCGGTAGATGCCACTTTTGAAGCAGTAATTTTTTGATATTTGACAAAGAAAAACTACGCCAATAATAAAAATGGAACGATACGCGTTTCAACAACGCATTGAAATTATTAAAATTCACTGTATAAATTTCTTGGCTGATGAGGCTGTGATAATAAGCAAAATTTACGGCATTTGTGGCGCGGAAACACCAAGATTGATTGTAAAAAAGCCTCTCCATCCTCAACATGCCGGTGGGTCATTGGACCTTTTTTTCCAAAAATCAATGGATTGCGCTATCTAGAGATGATTAATGAGCTTTTATGGCCGGAATCGGATGGTATTGAACTGGACAACGTTTACTTTCAACAAGACGGCTTTAAGTGCCGCAGATGCAACGAAACCATCAAAATAACACCTCTTATTGGAAAACCCTATATTATAAAATAAATTTTATTACATTAGATATTATAAGTTAATCTTTGCTTATTAAAAAAATTGAGGCAAACGTATAAAACGTTATAATATTTTCTATTTAACAGTCATAAATTCATTCTAAGCATATGTTTATGTAAATAACTTCAAATTATATACATATAACACCCTAAACATATTTGTATTTTTCTATTTGCAATTAAAAACAACTATCTAGCGGTTGTTAACATAAATCATTGGATTTTCTTTGCACATAAAAAAAAATCAAACCTTGCACAATTTTTCCAAGTAGAGCGCACAATGAGCTTGCTCCTACATTACAAGAGTGGAAGAGTGGTAATTTAAATTGGATTACAATGGATTTAAAGGGCAGTTGGTTACGTCTAAATGTACATATTTACTTTATAAGTGACTTTCTTGGATGTATATGTGTGTGGCTAAAATTAAAGTATAGTTGTGGCTTATGTACAATGGCAAAGTAATTCATTTATGGTGAGTGGATGTTAATTAGTGAAGACAAATTTGTTTATTTATTTTTGTTTTTTATTTAAAGGACGCATTTAAATGGCCATTAGGTACATTCACTTTTGTGGTGGTTGCGTGTCTGATGTTATTGACCTACATGCAGATGCTTGTTTCTTTGTTTAAATTTTTTTTTTTTTTTGATGCATAAATGTGTTAGTGATAAATTTTATTGCATGTAAATAAATGTGCTGGTGAACATACCTTTATCCTCAATTAAATTATGACTCAAATCGATCGTACGTATTGCGGGATTGTTATTTGTAATCACAGATACAGCTAATTTATGAAGAAAATCCGATCTGTGGAAAATGAAAAAAAGTGTCTTAGAGCAATCAATTTATTTAAATTTATTTCTGTAGTTTACCTTAAACCTAACGCCTCCAAATGCAGCTCTTCCAGCCACATTGAACGCTTGAGCACGTGTAGAATACGTTCCAAAGTCTCATTGGAGAGGCGCATATGTGATGCTTTTAGACCACGAAAAAATGTATTATATTCCAAAGCGGACACAATGGCCATCAAGTCTCTGCGAAAAAACCAAAAAAAAGAAAAAACAAATCATATTTTATCTACTAAGAGATTTCAATACATGCGAGTTACATTAATTTCCGACTTACTTTGGTTCCAAATGATCGAAATCGCGTAAATTCAGTACGCGTGTGTCATGCGATAAATAAATCGTATCAATGTCCCAAGCGACTTCCTCTCTATGCCATGGCAAGAAAATAGAATTTAAAAATTTTCGAAATTTATAATTATTATTTTTTTTCGAGTAAATAGCATTTATTTGAACTGAACACACCTGTAGGGCACCCCATGAAAGTCACACATACAAGCATATTGGGTGCTAAAACCACCACAGGGACCAACACTACGCGGATCTGTGGGACGAAACTCTTCGGAGAACAAAACTTCGCGTTCAGGCGGTTGTATATCGATCTGGAAAGAGAAAAAAAGTGTGTTAAATTAATTGTTAGTTCTGCAAGGGAAATATATTTTTTTTTTCAATTTAATTTGCTTAGCATATTTATATAAATGCATAGACGAGTACATATATACAGGAGATTAGTCTTGTTTTATTTTTTCTATTTACTTTATTTTACAGAATTGAAGATTTATGCTATCTTTTACTGTAATTTATTTGTACTTTTTTTGCTTCGATTTTATAATTTCCTGAAAAAAATTTGAGTTACAATATTTTTATTTTATCTTTTTGAGGAAATTCAAGCATAGAATTTTCAGGCGTCCATCTAAAATTTTGTATTGGAATTATCTGATTTTGGAAAAACTAACATTTTTAGTAAGCAGGTGTCATCTTAGTAGGCATAATATTCTTTAATTAATTTAATACTTGCCAATTAAAAAAAAAAAAATTAAAAAAAAAATACCCAAAAATATAACAAAAGTAAAGTATCGTAACACTTTTCAACTTGGCACAAATAACTTTGTTAATATTATCATCGTGTTTCTAAAGCGAATAAATGCGCCGGCAACAAATAAAGTTTTCGCAACTAACTGATTGACTTTCCTGCAGGCTGAAAGTGGAGCGCTTTTGAATGGCGGCATTTATACATACTTACATACATACACACATACATATATGTATGTAATTTCATACATTTCCGGCTAATGAAGCGCTCCGGCACAACTGGCAAATGCAATTCAAGCGACTTGGCGCTTGTGAGACACACACACACACACACACACTACACTGAAAGAAATATATGTATGTAGGTGTGCATTAATTTTTTTTTTTAGTTTGTTGTTGAGGCATCAGCCAATTCACAACTAGTGTGCGCTAGCAAATTATTGGTGGGTGAATGCGCTTGGCGTCAACTTTTCGTAAGCCAATGTGGCACCGGTTACATGTACATATGTACATACATATAACACAAATTTGTATTGTAGAATAATACATTTTACAAAAGCATGTACATATGTACATATCGTATGTTTACATGCTTATACCGAGGCAGATGAACTTTACTTAGTTTGAGTTTTTATTTAAGTGTAACTTTGTTGCCATCCGTCAACTTGGCGCGCTGGCACTGCTCCCTAGACATGCGTATCAAAAGACACACATACATACATACATATATCGCGTACACGTGTGTGCACATGAAAAGTCATTGGTTAAGGACTACAGATAAACTTTTTTGAGATAACAAAAGTTTGTATACATATTTATGCGTACTTATGTATATATGAGTAATACATAGAAATAAATATCAAGAAAGTTAGTTGTAACATTCGAATGATTGTTGCTTTATAGACGCTTATTTGTATGCGTTTGTTTCAAAGTGTAACGTACGTATATCCTTTACATTCTTGCTGATTTAGCGAATGAGCATTTATGTACTTCAGACGAGCAGAGAAGCAAAGATCTTAGAAAACTTTGTGTTGTACTTTTTTTTTCTTTAGCGAATACACACAATTTATTAAGGAGGTATTATGTAGTTACTGTAAATATTTAAACTAATAGCATACTAGTTAACAACTAGTAACTTCTGCTTCACAGTAGATACACAAGCCCTCGGTAGAAAAAACTATTTTACTACTTTAGCTTCAAAGTCAAATAGATACGATTATAAATGTTTTGTAATAAGTCCACGAAAATTGCGGTGGGCTTAGATTAGCTTAAGAGCCTGGATACATTGCCAACTCCACCCCCATCGGCTGATCTAAACTCAGTTGAACATTTGTGAGAACAACCAAATAGGCGCGTTGAAAAGCGTGCTGTATCAACAAAAATAAGAGTTGAAGCTGGCACTGGTGGAGTAATGGCAGATTATTGGGGCAGAAACCACACAAAAAATGGTCTCATCGATGCAAAGCATTTGGAAGCTGTCATCAAACATAAAGGCTTGGCTACAAAATATTAATTTCGTTAATATTTTACCAGTTTATTATAATTTTTTTTGTGTTTTTATGAAGTGTGTCAATACTTTAGTTCATCACTGTATATTAGCATTTTGAATTATAATCCAAAGGCCTAACTTCACATTGGATTTAAACTATCATATAATAAACTCATTAAATTCGACAATCACCACTAATTGAATATGAATTTGTTAAACCAACAAAAAAAAAAAAGAGAAAACAATTAAAGCAGTTAATAGTCAACAATTTGTGAACTCAGTAATTGTTCACTCAACCGCAAATTAATGCAGACAAAAGGCAGCAGGTAGAGTTTGGTGGATACATGGTTAGGCAGACAGAGCTAGTGCTACAACCACTAATGCCACCGCAGGCGCCACCAAAGCGCAACAAATCACGGCAGCTGAAATTGGTGTGGCATGCAACAGCACATGCCAGTCGCGTGTTGCATGCTTGCAGAAATATTTATGCACACATTCTTTGTTTTTTGTTTTCCTTTTTGTGTGTTAAATATGACGGTTAACTATTATTATACTATCATTACTATTATTATTATTATTATTACTTAAATATACACGTATATATACTTGCATTCCTTTTTTAATTTATTAACGGTTGTGTTTCAAGTGTAAGAAACGTTAAAGTAATTAAACAAAAAATAAAAATAAAAAACACAGAAAGATGGCAGCTAAAAGCGAAAAGAGGCATATAATGACGGACAAAGCGAAGAAGCAGGCGGGCAAACTAAAAATTAAAGACAACATGCAATATCATGCAAAAAGTCGAGTCTTTTGTGCCAACGACGGGAGGCTATGCTGCCCGGTGCTGTGTTCACATGGCGGCGCAGTGTATTCGCACTCGGCATGTGTTTGCGGCAGCAGCATCACCTTCGAGCCATTGTGCCGCCGTGAAGTGCACATTGTTTGCACTTGCGTTTATACATATGTATGTGTGTATGTGTCTTTTGTATGTATGCTGTATGTTGTATGTATGTATGTATGTATGTATGTATGTATGTATGTACGTATGTGTCTTGTTGCTTCAAAGCTCATTCTGTTTACAAATTATGCTTTTGTGTGCCTGTGCTTGCACTTTGCAGAAGTCTCATTCTAGTGGCTCTGCATCACAACGCGCTGCATGCATACAAAAATGCACATTTATACATACATATCTATGTATCTGTCGATGTATTAGTAGTAGTATAAGTTGTAGTAGTGCGGCAATGTTTGTCGTTAAACAATTGCCAATTGTTTTCTTATGCGGTGTAAAATATCTCGTTGACAGCTCGTCTGCTTGTCAAGCTCTAAACAATGTGTCAGGAGCACAGTTTTGTTTTTCATAAACGCTTTCGTTGTTGTTATTAGCCACAAATGAGAAGTTATTAAAAAGATTTTCCTTCAACACACTTTGTACGAAATATTTATGAAAAGGTCGAACGCATCCTCTGTTGGTGGGTAAAAGTTTTATGTTAATGATAAGTTTTGTTCAACGCATGGAAAGTAAGAAGTAAGCGGCAGCATGCTCAAAGGCAAATTATTATAAATTAACACGTACCTAACATACACTCATACTTTCAAAAGTTTTTAACAACCGTAGTACAGGGCTTTCCAATAAGAGGTATTATGGTGATCAGCTCTTCGAGAAATAACACGGCCCGGGTACTTTTCCCTTAAAAGATCGATGGGTTCGTGGCTTGTTTGGCACATGACGCCTTCTTGTTGAAAGTAAACGTTGTCCAGATCCTTATCATCTAATTTTAGCCAGAATTAAGTGTTAACCAAGTGTTAATCGGCTAAAGTTCTTGTGTTAAGATCCAAGTCTTTATGCAAAAACGTTTCCAGAATGCCCAATTCCGAAAAAGAACGACGAGGAATGGACAAATCTGGATTTTTATTCTATTTTTATTGTCAAAAGTCCAAAAAATGACAGCTTCAAAAGTGACATCTGCCGGAATAGCAGGCTATTCAAAATAACTCCTCTTATTGGAAAACCCTTTACTATTTGGTTGCTAAAGTAAAGATGTTTTTTCTTTGGAAGAGTTGTCTCCTGTTTGAAAATTTAAACTCAATTAAATTGATTGAATTGAAATATTAAATTATAGCATGATACCGTTATAGGTTAGGAAGGTCTAAAAGTAATAATAGAAAGAAAAGGTTTCGCTTGACCAAGCCAAGCCAGTCCTTCGGAGGGCAATGTCTCGTCAGGATCCCAATCATTTTTGAGATAGCTTCATTTTTTCAGAGAATATAACGCCGTGTAACGACTTTTTTGTGAAAAAGATTTCTTTAGTTGCGGTTAGCATGTGGCTAGAGGCATACCGCAAAATTTTCTCCGAATTGGTTTTCGGTGAATATTGCGAGAGTGACATTCCTTGGCAGAATAGATATCCGAATCGTTTCGGTATACAAACCCGACTGTCACTGGAACTATGGGATTTTAGTTGCCTCTTACAACAGGTATGCCTTAGCACGGGTAAATTCTTGAGCCTCCAACAAGCAGGGGTTACGAGAGATAGTCTGTTCTGTTCAGCTACCTCCTGAAGATATTATAAACTTTGTCATAATAAACCTCTGAAATTTTACAGTTGCCGGACTATCACTGAAAATTTATTCTAAAATTATATTATAGTCAATCAAACAACCATTTCATTTTATTTTCGCTTACCAAAAAGCTAAGATATACACTTATACATTGTCTAGTATATGTACATATGAACATACATACTGGTAATTAATAATACTGTATTAAATACATATGTGCCACATGCGAATAACGTCCATTATACATAATTTAAGGCACAAAACCCCATGCATTCATTATCAGAGTCAGCCAACAGAACAGAGTTAGTCAGTTAAATGGCCGCTTTAAGCGAAATGAAAAAAAAATGCAAAAAAAAAAAAAAACAAAATATGGGCAAACATACGCTTGGTGCTCCACTGAACGGCATAATGCTCAGCGGTTGTATAATTGCACATATGTACATATGACTTACATAAGCATCTATACATATACTCGTATCTATAGATATGTATGCACATCTGTAAGTGTACGCACGTTAGTATAATGGGTGAAAAGTCGACGAACTTTACACACAAAAAACATTGAATTAAACTTTAATTTAACTTCGACATACTGCAGCAAGTACATATGTATGTATGTAAGTATGTAACACATAATATGCCGAATGGCGAGTGCAAGCACACTTTACATGTAATATTACTTATTTGACCAACAAATAAAATGGTAGTCGACATGGTAGACCAATGAGTAATAAGACCACATATGAACATATACATATATGTATGTAAATACAAATGTAGGTGGAGAAATGAAAATTCTTTGAATGGCTGTAGCTAATGATGATTTTAGATAAATACATTTGCTATACCTACTTTTGTTTCATTTTTAAATATATATCACACAATAATAAACGCTTACAAATAAATACGTAATTTCATCGTCGAAAATAAATATTGATACGATAGTAAATTTCATAAACAATATGATCCCGAAACAAAGACGAAAATATAAAACAACTATCATAGCGAAACTTTTTTAATATAAATAATAATATTTAATAAAAAAAAATAATTTCAAGAGCTCATTATGTACGAGGTGTGTTCAAAAAGTATCGCGAATTTTGAACTCTCGCGGGTTATGTATAATCGAATTTCGATTTTTTCGTGGCGTTATGTTGGTACTCATATCTGTCACTTATGTCGAAAAGCTCGACCATTTCGAATGTTCACTTAATTGTTGACAGCTGCTTTGCTTGCACGTGTTTTGGATGGTCTTCGATTTTTACCTATTCAAAAAAAATGGATCAAAGAACCTTTATCAAATTTTGTGTAAAAACGAAATTAAGTGCGCGGATGCGTTTATTGGTGGTACAAAATGTTTTCAGAAGGCCGAGAAGATGTGAACGACGAAGAGCATGCCGGATGCCCGAGCACTTTAACAACAGACGAAAAATTTAATTGCAGGGACGTGGTGCATCATGAGTTCTTGCACAGGGTAGAACGGTCAATAAGGAATATTACCTGCAAGTTATGCGCAATTCGCGCGAAGCAATCCGCTAGAAACGTCCGGATTTGTGGAAGAACAAAAATTAGCTTTTGCACCACGATAACGCCCCTGCTCATACATCGTTGCTTGCGCACGACTTTTTGGCCAAAAACAACACACTAATAATGCCGCAGCCACCGTATTGCCCAGATCTGGCCCCCTGTGACTTTTTCTTGTTCCCTAAACTGAAGAGGACCATGAAAGGACGACGTTACGCTACGATTGACGAGATAAAGACGGCATCGAAGGAGGAGCTGAACAAGATAAAAAAAATGATTTTTTGAAGTGCTTCGAAGATTGGAAAAACCGTTGGCACAAGTGTATAATATCTCATGGGGATTACTTTGAAGGGGACAAAATAGATATTCATAAATAAATAAATAATTTTTGAAAAAACACAAAATTCGCGATATTTTTTGAACACTCCTCGTATATCAGATTAAAATCCTTTTTTATCTATACTATATACATATAGTTTATCTATATTATATAATAAGAGTAAAATGAGCGTATAAAAGGATAAGGGGAAAATAATTTTATTTTCAAAAAAATAAATAAATGTGGAAATGCCTTACTAAGTTAACATTAATTACCAAAAATAGTCTTGAAAAAAATAAAATTAATGGGCAAAAGGATGCCAATAAAACAAAACACCGCAACTAAAAAGTAAGTAAAATACTAAGTAAAATTGGCACACGCGCATAAATGAATTAATAAAGAGTAAAAGCCTACGTGGATAAACTAAAAAATGCAAAGTAGTTGGTGTTTACTATAGAAATAGCGAGCAAAAAACTGCACAGCTTGTTAAGCAAACTTTCAATTTAACTCAAGAAACACGTGTGGAAGGGCCAATTTGAGTTCACAACGCTGGCACGTACTAGCTAATATGCAAAATGTATTACCATACATGCAAATTACGCATCATATAGTGGCGAAGCAGCAAGTGTAAGCCGAGAGGGAGAAAAGAAAATAAATGAAACAAGTCAAAATGCCAATTGCAATTTGTGCTCGGTGCGAGGTTAAGTTGATGTGCGCTGATTTGACTTGACATGCCTGACGCAAAAAGGCGGCAGGCAAATAGGAATTCGCCCTTACTGCAGAGAAGTTAAGTGATTTACTTCGAAAGCCCCTAACAACGTCAATGAATTTCATGTTCAACATTTTAATATTATAATTGGCAATAAGTGCTTTGGCAACACTTCAAGCTGCTTGCATAAATTTATTAATGTAATACAAAATTTACGTTTGTCACTTAAATAAGTATATAAATATGTGTATATGTATTTGAACTCTGCACTCTACAGCAGTTTGACCTATTTTTTTTTAATAACAATTAGCAATTGTGATCGTCTCATATAACTCTTCATACTCAACCTTACATATGTCCATAAATACATAGGAACATACATATGTTTTCCCTTACTGATATATGTACGTGTATGTATGTATATAAACTGCAAGTTTTATTGTTTGCTCTCTTACATTTATTACAGTGTATATTCAGCACTTACTTACCCTTCTTATGATGTACTTGAGAGGAACTGTTGGAAAAATGTGCTTAATTGCCGATGCCAAATCGGTGAGTATAACATCAGCGTTCTGTAATTAAAAATGCAAATTAAAGAGCTAATCGTTCACAAAATACGCTATATGCTTTTCCTCGTTATTAGAGCTAAACTTACCGCACTAAAGCTCCCCGCATCAAAGCTTGTTGTAAATGAATACGGTCGATCGTTTGTGATGATTGAGAAGTGTGTGGATTTTTTACTTTCCACTGCCTGTATGTCCAAGTAGTGAAAGTGGCATTCGATCTGTGGGAGAGGCAGAACAATTATGAATTTGTATATAGTTGTAAACTAAGCGATGTAACGGTAATTCCAACGCTTTTCGTACTTACTTTTGTGGGCACCTTCGCGATTAGCAAATATATACGAACTGGCGTGAAAACCTGTAAAAAGGGAATAATATATTTTTTATTAAATTTTAATTAAGTAAAATGAGATATTAAGCGCTAAAAGTAAGGAAATCTTCTTTTGAACAACAATATATTTATTATATACTTTTTGGGATCTGAGTTCGTCTTCCTTTTTCAGTAAAAGAAATTGAAAGATAAATATTATATAGGGTTTTCCAATAGGAGTGCATGATTTATTTAAAATACTTAAAATACTAGTTGTTAATCGTATTTAAATGATTTTTTTTAATGCGAAGTCCAATCAATACAATTAAGCTCTGAAAATAACACCATTCAAATGGCATCCACGGCTTCGAATTCGATAAACCCTATTTTTGACCACTTTTTCTACTAAATCAAGTCTTATGTCGTGACTTTAAAAACTTGCTAAAGATCATTGTTTTCAAATAGCCTCACAAGAAGTAGTCTGATGGTGTTAAATCACAACTTATTGGAGGCCATTCAATGTCACAATTTATTGAAATAATCGAATCTTCAAATCTCTCTCGCAATAATACGATTGGTGCACGTGCTGTGTGACACGTAGAACCGTCTTGTTGGAACCAGATGTAGTTAAGATCAACCTTTTCTAATTTTGACGAAACCATCGATCTTTAAAGGTATAAGTTCCCGGACCGTATTAAATATCGAAGAGGCGATTTTGTGATTTAACACTTTGCGACTTCTTACTTTCGGGCCAAAAGGCCAATACTGACTCTAGACCACAAAGAAGCAACTCGTGAAGCTATTGAATGCTTTTAGTAGTTAGCAAGAAAGGCTACGAATTATAGTAAGGATAACGTTTAAGACCCCGGCTCATTCTTCACGCAGGACAGTGTGGATTGTAGATAATGAGACTGTTATTTCGAAAAAGTGAAAGGAAACAAAGAATTCTTGTGGGCACCTGCACCTCAAATATCATCTTTCAAAACTGGGTAAGGATGAATAACTGAGTGCTAGCCATACATAGAAGTAAACCAAATTCGACGGCTCCAACAAAATTTTTTTCTTGTAGTGTCTTTCGAGTACTAAATTAGCGGAGCTTTTCTCAAATCCAAAACAAGTTCTACAAATATTTTAGTGAAAATAATGCTGAGGTAAAGTATCGTTTAGGAGAAGGCATGCAAAAAGCCGATCAAGATCAAATTTTACTATTTGGTCGCCTTCCTTAATCCCAAACCATTTTTATTATTGTAACAGGCGCTTTTCTCTGCGATTTCCACTCTTATTGGTTCAAAGTGATTTTCATGCGTTCGTTTGTGGTTTTACTACCAACGAAATAATCTACAGTTTTAAGTCACCTCTGAACGGCTTATGATTTCAGTTAAAAGTGTTATTTTCAATACAGAAAATCATCTCTATCGGTGGGAAGTATATCTTCTACTTTTCATTATTTTTAAATTTTACTCTAGCCAAAACATGAAGCCATCACTCTCACACTGTTCTTTATTTTATTTATAAACCTTGGGGTTCTTCAATCGGAACACATATTTGACGTTAGAGAAAGAAATATTATGATTGATTTTTATTTAGTCGCATCTCGCTTAGGCAAATGATGAGTATATTCTTTATTCCTGGCTTTTCTCGTTCCATAAAAACCCAAAATATCCTGCCCAGTAATATGTTCAGAACAAACTATGAGGCTTTAATTCAAATTTAATTCTAATTCCTTAATGTTTGTAGTCTTTTGGCGATTTTTTTTACTGCGTCATCTCATCCGAACACAAAGTTCTAATAGTTGGCCTATGAGACGGCACTTAATCCATTTTATAGCACGCAACAACTGATGGAATTTTTATTTTTTCTTCCTTTTTGTAGAAATTCAATACCAACAGACATTTTCTGCTCAGTGGCGCAATTTTCTGTTGTTACTACTATTTGAATTGGCTGGATTGTGTATACTTTTGTAGGCATGTACGTATATTGCAATCGCTTGTAAGCTAACCCTTCTTTTATAGTTTCCTCTTCGGGCAATGATGTAGTGTTCACTCGATTTTTGTCACCGTTCCTGTGCTTCGGTGTGCTTCCAGTAAGATTAAAGTATTTAACGCTTGATTTGCTAATTACTTGCTATTTGTTGTAAAATATCCTGAATGCAGGTATCAGTTACCACAAGGAAGCCAGCAACATAGCCAAGTACAAATATGTATATGGACTCACCAACTTTGTTATGCAGTTAAGTGTTCAGTGCTTATCGAAACTACATTTAAAGTTGTACAAACCCTTAAGTCCTTTAAGTTTTCGAACTTTTGTAGCGTAATGAGTTTGGAAATCTGTTTGTATGTATTTTATTTTACTTCTGTTCCATTATTATTAATGTGTTTGCATAATACATGTATGTATGCATATGCAAAATACACTTACTCTGCTTTTGAGGGGTTTTATTTTTATTTTTATTTTTTCATTAGCGCTCTTTACACTTCTTTTCTTATTGCTTTTCTCAATTTAGTTTTATCTGATTAGCGAATTGTTTGAAAGACGTAGCTATAAAAATTACGAACAATGTATGTATGTATAATACCTAAATTATGGCACCCCATAGGCTGTAATCCTCTATCCGCTAAGTGACGCAGAAGAGTACCAAACTGATGTCAAATAGAAAACTATTAACTATTATTTCTATTTATTTTTTATTTTTATTATTTATTCTAATATGGTATACATTTTTTTTAAATATATATTTTATAAATCTGACTGATATCATTGCTGCTATGTTCCGGGGTATCTAATATCTGGGAGATTTTAATAGTCATTCATAGCAGCTACAGTCGTTGGGATTCTTGATCATAAGAACTGCGGGTTGGGGTTCAAGAGTTTACCGCGGTGAGGCATGCCTGTCGTTAGAGGCGACTAAAATCCAATAGTTTCCGCGATAGTCGGGTCTTTATACCGAAACTACTCGGATATTTATTCGGCCAAGAAATGCACTATCGCAACATGCCTTAAAAATGGCTTTGAGGAATATTTTTGCGGTTACAACAACAGGTTATGATCTAACAAATTGACTTCGGGATACTGGCTTTTATTTTTGTTTTCTTTTACGTTTAATGTTGGTATATTCTTTCTTAATTAATAAATAAATTATAAGAGGTAAACTTAAAAATAATGTAAAAAATGGCGGTGAAAGCTGGCAAGGTGTATGTATAAGCTTATTTTCAGAATATGGTCGGATAAAAGCATGCCCGACGATTGGAACCTCCTATATAAAGTTTTTAATGTTCTATCGAGCGTATTTTGTGAAAGCCTAAAGCCCACCATTAACCAATGAGGTCGAATCAGCAGACCTTATCAGTGTGTGTAGTGGGTTTAGTAAAAAGAAATCCATTATTTTTCCAATACATAACGTTCGCGATGTATAAGTCCTATCGGGTTCCGCTAGATGACGTTAGAAAGATGACATTTCGTACAAAAAAAAAACTTGTCTGACAGTTTTGTGATTGATTGATTAAGTTTTGTTTGAGCGTGCCTCAAAAATGAACACTAGCAAAAGGAAATTACGCTATATATATATATATATTTTTTTTTACTGGCGTAGACACCGCTTACGCGATTTTAGCCGATTTAACAACATTGCGCAATTCGTTTTTTCTTGCCGTCCAGGTCCTTCTCTATGTGGTCTTTCCAACGGAGTGGAGGCCTTCTTCTTCCTCTGCTTCCACCGACGGATACTATATATTTCACAGTTTGGTTTTTTCCATAAGGGTGAAAACGCAATCGGCGGCTGAATATGTTCATAGCGTTTATGGTCCTGATACTGTAACAGTCAAACATGCACAATTTCGGTCTAATATATGAGAATATTTCACATTTATATTTTGAATATACTTTCGACGATGCCTTTTCCTAGGCAGGCATCCTTTTGTTTAAGACAATATCTTGTTAATGAATATTGAAAGCTGTTAACTACTACACTTAAGAAAGGTGCTTCTTCACCTCGTCAATAACATTCACTTCTTACACATCAAGTTTGCCAGCTCTCTTAACAATGAGTGAGTGAGTGAGTGAGTGACAGTGTTTATTGTCATCACTGCAACGGACTGTGTTGGAGGACACTCATTTTGGGTAACGTTCTTAAAACTTTATGAATTTTGAATGAACATGAATGTTGACACGTTGAAGTAGCAACGAACAGAAGAGCAGCCGTCAACAATGCCAACGCCGCTGTTGGGTGCCTTAAATTATGTATGAGGCATAAAGATAGCGTTGTTGCCAACTCGTGCCGCTTTTGCCGCTGCACTTACTTGCTACGGTGCATGGACGTCAAAAATACTCCGATGCTTTCAGGCGCAAATTAAATTTTACATTTTCGTTTTTTTTTTATTTTTTCGCCTACATTTGCTACTGATTAAATTTCACTTTTCTGCACTTACTCGCACTTTGTACGACAGTAATGTAGGCAAGCGTGTTTTTCTTTTTAATATTATTTATTCACTTTATATAATTGGCATGCGATTCAGTAGCCGAAAATGTTTCCTGATAAAGTCATGCACATTTGTTTTATCCAAATTGTAGCATTTTAAAGTGAGAAATACAAAGAATTGCTGACTGCTTGTTTAGTGACAGCTTCCGCATTGATTTGCCAACCGTTAAAAATTAACAACCCAAAAAAAGAAATCGCTGCAAATTCAAACGCTTTTTCGTGTTACGAATAAATTATGTAATATTAGTTTGAAAATAAATTTCCTTTTCGCCTCCCTGGCTTGTGGCCGGCCAATTGCAGATAATATACAAACGAGGGGGATTAACAAACGTTCGGTAAGTTGACCAAAAAAAAAAAAAATAAATAAATAAATAAAAAAATCTTTTTGTATTTATTCGTAATCTTCGTCCTTTTTTATCTCCATACAATCGCCATTGATTTTAATGCATTTCTTAAAGTGATCGATCCACTTTTGACTCACTCTTCAAAATCGTGCTTTTTAAGCTTATCAAGTTCAGCATTAACCGCAATAATTATCTCCTCGTTGCTATTAGGGATCTTTCTTTTTATATTT